CCCACTCATTATGTTGTCGTTTCCCCCTACAAAAATATGCACATCAACTGTTTGAAATGCTGTGGTAGAGCTCTTCCCATAGGCATTATGTTAGTCATTTCCCTGCGTTATATGAGAATACGGATTCTTTTTCATTAACATTCTTGACCATTCCCAAAGAAAGCCAGAACCGACCCGGCCCGGCGGGCCCGTCATTTCACTAGTTTTGAAATGTTAAAAAAACACATAAGGGGGGACCCTTATGTGATTTTTTTCCACCAAAATCTTTTTTTCGAGTTTTTTCGATCTTTTTTGTTTAGACAGAAAAACAATTCAAAAAACGAAAAAAAAATGGGAAAAATTATATTGAGAGCTCAAAATTTGGCTCACAAATACAGAACTTTTGACACCGGGCCTTCCGGGCCGGGCCAGGGGCCTTGAAAATTCCCTCAGGCCCAGCCCGGAATTTTACAAGTATGCCATTTAGTACTTTTTGAACTTTTTTGACTTATAATTTTGGAGTTAGTGAAAAAACTCACGACTACAACAAGTTGAATACCGGTGGCGGTTGGTTGTGCAAACGTTCGAAGGGGCATGTTGAATCTGAAAATGAACGGACATCAAACGAATTTTTTATGAGCCGGAACCCGGAAAAGGAAGACGGGGAGAGAGTGTCTTGAGGAGGATAAGATTTGAAAACAAATAATTTAAGTTTTTTTTCTCAAACATGAGTTCCGTTTCAGACACAAAAACAAGGCGGAATTAAGAAGATTCATCGTTTAGTTTCTTCTGTTTCTTCTCCTAAATTGAACTTTTTTCTTCCATTGGCCATTATTTTTTGTCTCTCTTTTTCCGCCAAGTCGTTTTTATTTGTTTCTCCTTTTTCTGTTCTTTTTTCCGAATGCTTATTCAATTTCTTATGGCAAATGAGAATGAAATTGGGTAGGGAGCAATGTAGAATGGAGAAGACTCTGATAGAAAGTTTCTCGGATTCAGGGAAACCGACGATCAGAAAAATCAGGTCATATGAGAGAACTCAAACAAACAAATGAGCTGAAAAAATGGGAATATCTCACCATAAAAATATGAACAGAGACGTCGACCGATCAATTATTTATATGGTTCCTACCCTAAGGCTATTATTCATTTTTCATTGCTGTTCGGGACTCTTTTCTCTGGAATTTTGTTTATTGGTTTCTGAAATATACGTCACAGAATTAGATTCATGGATAGACAATAAAAATGGTTATCTGAGTATTATACTGGTATTTGAAACAAGTTAGAAAATAGTTTTATTTGCCAATTTTCGGTATTCATTCTTTTTAAGGCAATTTTCATATTGAGAAAGTTTTTTTTCGACCAAAAATTTGGTGAAAAGCTATAGTAATCGAGAAAAAAAACTCTAGGTTACGGTGATTTTCGTTACGGGAACCACTGACCAGGCCCACAAGCTTTCCTCATCCACAACTCCGATTTTTGTTCCAGAATAATAATAATTATCAAAAAATAAATCAACAGAAATTTCAGAGTTCGAAAAAATTACTTTAAAAAAATGCAGTTCTTGGATAATGAAAAATCAGTTGCTTTCTTTACCGGAACATCTGCCCATTATCTAACAAAACACCAGATTTCTAAATGAAAAAATGAAGAATTTGTTTTTAAAAATATTCAAGCAAAATTTGATATCATGTTACTTTCTCATGACTAATCGAAAAATGACCCAACGATTTATAGTTTGAAAAACGCAAAAACACAATTTCCCTCATTATATAATACAACTGTTTGTAGTTATGAGCACTTCCAGACACTTCAGAATCACCAATTTGAAGATTTTTGAAGTTCTGAAACAGAAAAACCTACGTTTTGGAAAGCTAGCAAAGCCGAAAAATTCGGAACAGAATCTAGAAAAAGAGTCACGAAAGAAAAAGAAAATAAAAAACTGAAAATATCTGCTCTTGAAGAAATTCATGATCTTCGTCCTCCCCTGGGGCATCGCTTTTTTTGAAATTTCTGAACCTCCAACTCAGATTTTATATTGGAATTTATTTTAGAAACGATTAAGGGTCAGAAAAAAAAAAGGAAAAAGCACGAAACATCAAAAATATGGAATTCAATCAAAGCTGTGCAAAATGGCGGCTGGCCGCGGCTTTTATAGGAAAGCCGTGAAAAGCCGCGGCTATTCTTATAAAAACGCGTGAATTAAAAATCATTTAGTTTTTGAAGAATTTATTTTTTTTTGTCCTATTTTTCAAAAAAAAATCTACGTTTTTCAAGAAACAATTATTTTAACAGGCCGTGAAAAGCCGCACGGCCGGCCTCAGCTAGCCGCGGCTTCCTCAAGTATTTTTTCTGAAGCCGCGGCCGGCTCGGCCGTAGTGAAAGCTCTGCCGTGACACAGCCTTGAATTCAATTAAAAACTCCAAAGTTTTTGAAAAGATTCAAGATACCTAGTATAAGTATCAAAGTTATGGGTATCAAGGTCAGGAATTTCTTGAAAGGGACTGAAAATTATTTTTGTTTTTTGATACATCAAAATGTCTAGACAATATGGAGATTCGTATTGCAAATATATATATATATATATATATATATATATATATATATATATATATATATATATATATATATATATATATATATATGTCACAGCGCATTGAAAATCAGGTCAACCCATTTTTGACATCATGCTTTGAAATCAATTTTTTTCAATCAAGATGTCGGTAGAAATGGCTGGATAGGGGGTAGTCAGACAGTACAAGGTTTGGACTATACTGTAGATAAGACAGAACCGTTTAGCCGTATCCAGTGAGATCGGTCTCCGTTCTCCTTCCCGCATGAGGTTGCGAATTTCGATTTTGAAAATAAACCTTTGTGTTTCTCTCCAATGGAGATCTACATGGAGTCTGAATGTGAGTTATGTCACCTGACAAAAATAGGTTTCGGTCATAAAAGTGACACCATTATCTGGCAGCTCCCAATACTCCACTCCTTGGTAGACATCCATGCCGAAAACATCCCATTTTTAACGTTAATTTCACGTTTCGGGACGTCTGGTGGTTGAGTGCCTTCGTCAACCCATTTGGATTGTTGTTTATAGTAATCATACATTACCCATTTATCGCCACTAGTAATGATTCAACTTCAACATTCATGTTTGCAACGCAGGATGAGAAGATTCAAACAAATGCCCACACATGAAACAAAGTTGCTTTGAGCGAAAAGGTGTGATCCATATCTTCCCACTTTTTTTACTTTGCCGAGAGTTCCCAATTTATGGCTTTTTGACGAAAGGTTTGCCACTGATGTACTTGATATATCCCGCACATTTTGAGACGGGTCCCTTTCAATCCCGGTTTTTGATGAGGATAAAACGACAACTTCCTCGCTTTTACCCCCTTCAAGAAAACGAAGTTTGAAAACAACATATCAAAAGTGGAAAGGACTTTCCGAACAACCTAATAGTGCTTTCTGAACAACCTAATGGTGACACTTTTATGACCGAAACCTATTTTTGTCAGGTGACATAACTCACATTCAGACTCCATGTAGATCTCCATTGGAGAGAAACACAAAGGTTTATTTTCAAAATCGAAATTCGCAACCTCATGCGGGAAGGAGAACGGAGACCGATCTCACTGGATACGGCTAAACGGTTCTGTCTTATCTACAGTATAGTCCAAACCTTGTACTGTCTGACTACCCCCTATCCAGCCATTTCTACCGACATCTTGATTGAAAAAAATTGATTTCAAAGCATGATGTCAAAAATGGGTTGACCTGATTTTAGACTGTAAGCGATATCCAAAATGTGTATGCTGATAAAATGGTTGTGATATTATGGTGGACAATTCATGAATTGACAAGTTTTTGATATTTATTACAGGAACCGAGATGAATTGGCTGAAAGTTAAAAGTTAGGGGCCCTATGAATGCAGATGTCACAGTATACTTTTTAACTGATGACTTTCGAATTTCCAGAAAAAAACGGGTCCTTGATCTCTAGCTCCAGGGCAGTTTCATTCTACATTCATTGTACTACCATTCTCATTTTTTTTTCTCTTTTTTTCCTCGAATTTCTCCTGTTTTTCTTCGTTCCACCCATCTTTTCTCTCGTTTCCCAAACAATCCTTTCCCTGTTACAGACATGATGAATTTGTTGTAATCCATTTGAAAAACAAAAAAGACACAAAAAAGTTGGATTTTGCAGCCTGACTTGAGTCCCTCGAGAACATTCTGAGGTTATGATTTATTTTTTCTGGCGACTAACAGCTTTTTTCCCAGAAACTCCTTTTATTTCTCTACATGTGTTTTGACCTGGGTTTGAGAATTTTTGAGTTTCTATTTCATTTTTCAAAAGATGTGTTATTCAAAACTCCTCTGAATCCGTTCCAGTTTTCTTTCTTCCTTCTTCTGACCAGTCAAAAACTAGATTGAATCGCGCCGAAGGCGCACCAGCTTGCTGGTAAACTATAATCCCACAATAATTTGCACACCCTCGAAAAATCGTTTCAGAAAAGCGAACAATCTCAGTTCTCGTATGGTTCTGGTAACTTCTAGAAGGTTCTGGAATTGTTTTTGAAATTCCCACCAGAACTGAAATTCCCAGACCACCTCTGGAAAAGTACCGTGAAAAACGGAGTTTTAGTACTTTTGGCGGGTATTCAAAAAAGATATTCGAATATGCGAGAACTAGGATTTCCCCAATTATTGAAGCGATTCTTCGAAGTTTTCTTTATTGCTATACGCATTTAGACAATTTGATGTATAGAAAAACGTTTTGTTCCCTTTAACCGAATTCTCAAAAACAAATATTACTGTAGGGAACAGGAGATCAGAAATGAGTTCACGAATAACTGAAACACTAAAAAAACAAAAGAAGAAAACACCGAAAAAACATGTCTGAAGAGTAATTTAGTTTCAGAATGCTCTCGTATCTTTTAGTTCTTGAGTTTCTTAGAAAAACAAGAGTCAGAATTGAAGACGGGGCGGTCGAAAAGAGCCGGGACTCAAATTTTATTGGGCATGTCAAATGACATGGAGACGATATAAAATATTCTAATTTTAGAGGAATTTCTTGTGAATTAGTGAATACCGAGTCTAAAATTTACGAGGGGCGAAGAAAAATGGGCTGTCAGAATGAGGTGAAAGATCGGAAGTTAGTTTGAAATTTGCAGAAAAAATTAAACTAAACTTTCAACTTACTAGCTATTTTTTCTGAATGGCTGAAAAAAGAAACATCGGACTGGTGAAGAAAAACGATTAATTAGAAACAGAATGACTTCATTAAAAGACTAACAACAAAAAAAGAATCAAGGTTCAGAAGAAGGAAGAAAGAAAACTGGAACGGATTCAGAGGAGTTTTGAATAACACATCTTTTGAAAAATGAAATAGAAACTCAAAAATTCTCAAACCCAGGTCAAAACACATGTAGAGAAATAAAAGGAATTTCTGGGAAAAAAGCTGTTAGTCGCCAGAAAAAATAAATCATAACCTCAGAATGTTCTCGAGGGACTCAAGTCAGGCTGCAAAATCCAACTTTTTTGTGTCTTTTTTGTTTTTCAAATGGATTACAACAAATTCATCATGTCTGTAACAGGGAAAGGATTGTTTGGGAAACGAGAGAAAAGATGGGTGGAACGAAGAAAAACAGGAGAAATTCGAGGAAAAAAAGAGAAAAAAAAAATGAGAATGGTAGTACAATGAATGTAGAATGAAACTGCCCTGGAGCTAGAGATCAAGGACCCGTTTTTTTCTGGAAATTCGAAAGTCATCAGTTAAAAAGTATACTGTGACATCTGCATTCATAGGGCCCCTAACTTTTAACTTTCAGCCAATTCATCTCGGTTCCTGTAATAAATATCAAAAACTTGTCAATTCATGAATTGTCCACCATAATATCACAACCATTTTATCAGCATACACATTTTGGATATCGCTTACAGTAACCGAGAATAATGAATTCAAACTAGACAGAGGGTTTCTATTACGGGTTTTACGGTAATTCTTCTCTTAATCAACTAGTACCATGAAATTTAACCTTTCCGCCTAGGCTTGAGGTTCATAGTCTACCGATATTTGGAGTGACATCTTCTGCAACGGTTGCAGAAGTGATATTTTCAGACTTTACTCTGGTGTAAATTTTTTAAAAATTTCATTTCGAATAGTCTTCACTAGGTCTGATTTTGATCAAATTAAAATGATACTACTATTTATCCGATCTCAAGTTATGGCCCAAATAGAGAGTCTCAAATCATTTGTTAGATGGTGTAAATCAGATAAACCCCTACATTGGACAACTCTAGTAAAATGAATATCAGACTAGATGCAAGATAGGAAACCCATAGATAGAAAGGATCTCGCTAGCAAAGAATCCTATCATATCCGAGTTTTCCTTCTTTGTTCTCTCTCTCCTTCAACTTCCTCTTTTTTCATATTTTCTGCTTTTTGAAATTTTTGGTAGAGTCGCAAAAGTTAGTGACATAAAAATGCCCCTTGAGTATAGTTGGCGTGTTCTGTTTTAACCCAAAATACTTGGACTTTTCCATGAGTTTTTTCGCGGATACAACGAATATGAAGACTTCAAAAATCGCGCGGAGGGTGTGCTCTTTTTGCTCCACAGATCAAAAATCTCTTTTCTTTTGCTAACAGAGTTATGAAAAAAGGCTATAAGAAAAAGTAATGAAGGAAGAAAGTCATTTCCTATGGGTCGTTGTAAGGATTCTAGTTGAATTTTTTGACGTATCACTTTTTGTTTTTTAAAGTCATCAAATTGACAGAGAACACTTTCAGACAAAAATGATATATTTTCCTGAAGTGGTTTCTATGATTTGGAAGGGGTTTGTTTACTAACCAACTGGAATGGTATTAAAAAGAAAAATATCAATAACCAGTCTGATCTATTATTCTGGAACAGAATAATCGGAACTGTGGAAGGGAAACGGCGGTGGATTTGGCCGAAGGTCTTACAACGAAAACTACCCAGAGATGAACGGGATTCCTTCTTCATTATTCCTTCTTCCGCATTTTTTATTTTCATTCCTTCTTTCTTATTCCTTCTTCCTGACTTTTTTCTGAGTCTTCCGCAATATTTGAACAATTTTTTGTTGAAATTTGATTTTTTTTTAAATTTTGAATGTCTTTCAAAGTTTAAACTAGCACTGTTCTTTAATGCTCTCTTTCTACATGTTTTATCGAAAATTTGTCACAAATAATTTGTTTCTTTCAAAATTTGATCCCTTGTTTCTTATTCCGTCTTCCTTCTTTCGACTGTTTTTTATTCCTTCTCCCTTACTCTTTCTTCCGGATTTTCAAAATTTTTCTGCTCATCTCTCCAACTACCGTAACCTATAAATAATTTTATTTTCCGTATTTCTTTCCTCGTTTTTAGCTTCTTTTCGTCGAGTTTTCTGTTAAAAATGATAGTTAATGGCAACACAGATTGAAAAAGCATGAAAATTGAAATATCAGAAAAATGAAAGTATTTATAGGTCCCGGTAGTTGTCGTTGTAAGATCTTCGGCCACGGCCAGTGACGTTCTTCTTCCACAGCTCCAATTTATTTTGTACCGGAATAATGAACATTTTTATCAATTTATCAGTTATGATATAACAATTTAAAATAAGTTAAACCCAGCGAAAATTATTTTAAATAGAACTCCTGGGGTGCAAAACAAACAAATTATCTGCATCCGAAAATGTTGAGCCACTAAAAGTTTAGAAATGAATTGACTTACACTTTCTTTCAAAGTCGAAGATGAATCAAATTCGACCAGGACAGTAATGCAGTTGAAGACTTTATAAAAGGGTTTTAACAGTTTTTCAAAATATTGAATTTGAGTCAGTTTCAATATTTCCTGAGGGAACAAAGTAACGTTGTGAACAATTTCTTTTGGCTCTTATCTAGTTTAGAGGTCCCAAAAAATTAGAGGTCCGAAAAATAATTAGAGGACCCAAAAACGTTTAGAGGAACCAAGAAAAAATAGAAATTTGAATTGAGGCCGTATAGGATGTATAGGACTGTTCCTAATAGTTTTAGCTCCGTTTCTCTTGCGTCTTGCTGATGAACATCAATTTACATATGAGGAAAATTTCGACAAAACAGTAATGCTTCCGTAATAATGCTGTATCTCACAATCAGACTTAGATAACTGACAGAGAATATACATCCACAAGCCTATTGGAAGTTCAAAAAATAGCAGCAACACCGATTTCCCTACAAGACCCCAAAACTTTATCTCCTCACACAGTTCAAATTCCAGTACATTATTCCAACTTCTCTGCGTTTTTAAATTTTGTACCTCTATTTTCTTCTTGGGACCTCTATTTTGGGACCACTATTCTTTTTGGGACCTCTCAACTAGAAAAGAGCCATTTTTCGGTAAATCAAATATGGAGATGTGGCCTTGAAACCTTCGGGATGCTGATTTCTACGTCAACGTCTTCTGAAACTTCTGAAACTTCTGTAAATCTTGAAACAGAATCTTCCTCTATCCTCTTTTTTTCGGGCAATCGAATTTCTCCGTCTGCTTCTTCCAGACTTCTCGAATCCACGAGATGATAGAAATTTGGATTTTTAAAATTGTCCAAGTTCAAAACTCGGCTTCTCGCCGACTGGCAATTCACACTATGTGTCATTCGTCTTCTTTGTCTCTGGGTGTGTCTCCAAGCAAGGCCCAAAATCGCTATAAATGTCACAACCATGATCAGTCGACGATACTCAAGCACCTGAAATTCCAATTTGTTGGTCATTTCATAACATTTCAGTGTCACCCCACCTGAATCGCATGTATATAAACAAGTGGGTAGCCCCATAAATTTCAACTCACTGATCTCAAAATTTTCGTTCCAATTATTCTCATGCATGAATCTGATTTGTTATAAATCACTTCGAAAAACTTTTGAGACTGTCCAACAGTTTGCCAGTATGTAGATAACGTGTTTTCCAAAATGAATTCACATGTTTCTCCTCTGAATCCTTCTGGACAAGTGCAGATCTGAAAGTTTATCAATTTTCTGTAAGTGAACATTTGAAATCAAATTGGTTACCTTGACAATTTCTTTTTCTGTGGCTGCACATCTCCATTGAAGATCATATTCGTGATGAATTTCTCTCGAACAACTGAAAAAAGATAACTAATAAGAGATTCAATTATTATTTCTCACTTTTCCATTCTCAAATGTCCACTTACGCAATCAAAAATCTCAAAACATGTAGGTCCTCCGTATCCATATTTACATGGACAGTAACCTAAATTCTTCTCGTTCTCTTTGAAATTCGTTCCTGGCTCGTAGCAATCATCTGGATCTGAAAACTCTTTATCAATTTTCATAAAATTAGGGAAAATTGAACTATCTTGAACCAACCAAAATTATTCGATTTTACTTCTGAAGAGCTGATCATTTCCAAAAAGGCAATTGTAACGAAAATCCTCACAGATCGGACAATCATTTTTTTTTGGATTTTGAAATTTTGTTTTTTTACCTGAAATGGATGCAATTTCTGTGAAAATATTTTTGATCTAACAACGAATGATCAGTTTCCTGAGAACGATTTTCTGTTGATTTTTCCAATGACTCAGAATTTTTTCCAAGTTTCTTTTCCCCCTTTTCCCTATTGTACAAACATTGAAAGGTGAGGAAGAAGAAGAAATTTAACTGAGGAAAATTGAAAGGGGTGAGCATAAAAAAGTTATATTCTGCTCTTATCAGTTTATATACGCTTTCTGATTTAATCACTTTGAGTAGATTGATATTTAATTTTTACAGTTTTTACGAGGCAAACATTCAAAAGAGGCATACCTTTGAAAGTTAGTAGAAGTAATTGAGCAGTTTAAAAATAAGCAAGTGTTTTTTTAAAGATTCCAGTGTTTTAAGTAGCATTTAGAGGAAAAGATAACAAACGAATTGGCGTCACCATTGTATCTCGGAATTTCATAACGTTATGAAATCCAGTTTTATGCGAATTGAAGACAAAGTTTACTTGAATTTTAAAGATAAGGAGTTATAAAAAATGGTTTCTTGTGTTCATATTGTGAAATCTTTAACGAAAAACTGCGAATGAAAAGTTTCAAGACAACCTCGGTATTTTGTAAGCCCAGATCTTGGATGAAACTTTCCAGATAGGATGCGAATAGCCTATCTATCCAACCTCTGAAAATTCTAGAATCAGCATGCTAGTTTCAGCCGAGTTATATCAAATTCAGTATCGAAAATCGCCGTTTTTGCCCTGAAAGTGTGGTTTTGGTACTGAAACTGGAACAATTCTGCTGAAACTGGCGAGCGTATTTTAAAATTTTCAGAGATGAAACCGGAACACACCTTTCAAAGCAGAAACCGTAATTCCCCTAATTAGCCAGTACCCCATATCTTAACTTCAACTTTAAACAACTCTCTTCTACAACCTGTAGCCAACTTGTTCTGTTTATAGTACATCCTTCAATAACATGTTGATTCACTTTCCCTTATTGATATTGCTGATTGCTGTTTACGACTGTAAATATTTTTAGTGCTCATATTTTCTTCCTGAGTCGAATCAACCAACCCTCCTGCCTTCACATTGCCAGTAAACTGTACTGTTTGCGACATTTACCGAAATTTCGAAGAGTATACAGTTATTTTCCTTTCCTCGTATCACTATCAGTCAGTTGATGTCTTCTTAGTTTTCCTGCCACGATGCGAATAGTGACGGAAAAGTTTATTATCAATAAAATGACTGATGCAATTCAAACAAAACCGTGTCACTTTTGAGTTACTTTTAATTTAAAATTCACAAATTTGTACATAGTAGAATCTGGTAAACTGAATGTTTGAAAAGCAAAGTAAAGTGAGGCTAACACAGGGAAGAATATAAATGAAATGAAAAAAGTTTGAAAATAAATTAAAACTACAACAAACATTTTGAAAACAAATCTACTCATAATCGCTCTCAGCTCCAGGGAATTTCGGGTCCTGAAATATTTCTATATTTTCATTAAACTTTAGTTCCAACTCACAGTCTCTCCAAAGTAAGATCCATCGTCTGGTTGAATTGGAGTCATTGGCATTGGAACGGGACTGTCCTGTAAATTAATAGGTTTCAAAAAAAAAGAAAATTGGAAAAGTAACAAACCGCATAATAGTAATCTTCAGTTTCGATTGCATCTGCAATTGTCGAGTACAGCGCATGGCGTCGTGGTCCGCGAGACATACTAAAACTCAAAGAATTATAAATTTGAATATCAGCTTCAAAATCCTTACTTCAAGTTAGTCGGTGGTTCAACTTCTCTCGATACCAGGTCATCTTCAGAAAGATCAGACTTATCGCTTTCAGTAACATGACGAACTCGAAATTGTGGAACTGGAATACTGTATTCCACATATTCAACTGCCGACTCAGCTTCATCGTCTTCGTGCTCTATGAATAAACTTTTTTGAAAAAAAAAACACTTGCAACGGGTCGGGCCGATCTTTTTTTTTTATTTTGAGCCCAGGATCGGCCCGACCGGTCTAGACCCGGGATTTCAATATTTTTAACCTGTCTTCTCGAAAAATTTTCGTGGTCCATTTAGAAAAAAATGGACAAACTTCCTGCCGAACAAAAAGTTCAAGAAGGGAGTGTCATTAAAAAAAATACAAATGTTTTTCACAAAAAAAATTCGAACTTGAAAAACCCAGATTTTTCAAGTATTAAAAAACGACAAACCATCCGAAGCTTCAACTTGAATCGATGGAATCTTTGCTTCGATAGATCTCTTTTTCATCTGAAGGGAATCTCTCTTCAAATATTGACCTGATGATCGTCTGGAACTGATTGGAGTTGGACCGTCGACTGTTATCTAAAAAGAATCATTGCTCACAGTTAATTTTTAAAAAGTCATACCATAGGCAAACTATTTTTCTTTTCAACTGTAATATGTTCTGTCGATCCACCTCCTCCTGTATCACTTCCACTTCCTCCAAATGATCCTCTCTTGTATTTTCCAGTCACAAATTTGCTCAGTTTCTTATTCATTTCAAGCATTAAATTCATTTGCTCCTTCTGAGAAAAAAAACATTGCTATGAAAAATTCGATTGTTTACTTACATGTCTTGAATCCATATTTTTCATTTTGTGCTCTAACTCTCTCAACTCTTCTTTCAAACTGAATTCCATTTGTGTCAAATGTGCCACTCTGTGTAGAATGGCATCAGTTCTTTCAGCAGTTCGATGAATCCGTTCGTCATTTGAACTCAAATTCTTTTTCTCAGTTTCTCGTTTCATATCTTCCACACTTTCCTCTTCGAATGTGTGCACTTTTTCCATTTCATCCGGAGAAAGGAATAATTCTGAATACTTTTCAGTTTTAACTTTCGAATTTGAATTATTTTTCAACTCACTCAAACTCTGATCGAATAAATTCTTTCTCTCAAACATTCGACTACTGTATTTGATCAATTTGAAGACCCAAATGATATGATAAATGATAGTGAATGGAGGTGGCAACCATGGAGTTGATTCATATTCCATCACTTGTCCATATCGTTCGAAAAGGAAAATTTCACGAGTGGATTCAATGTGCTTCTCAAAAATATATGTGCATCCGGCAACCATTACATTCATCAGAAGAACATTTGTGGCCAACATGAATACGGTAAGTCCGACTGGAGCAATCCAGTATCCCGGCACACAGGTCTCATCTGGAAGAACCGATTGACTTTTTTTATAAACAATAAAACAACTCACGAGTCACATTCAACATGCTAATTGGGATATTTTCATCTTCATGAGTATGCCAGATCTCGTCTCCACATGTATCGATTTCAGCAGCATAAACTTCTCCGTAAAGCATAAAATATGGTTGAAGGAAGATATTTCTGACGAGAATCCAATGCCAATCTTCATAAGGATATGTTATACTTTGTCGAAGTAGTCCGAATGAATAGAGGGTGATAAAGACCAGAACACACAGAGGTATCATTGATGGGATCTAAATAATTATTAATGGTTCTTAGAAGGGTTTTGAATATAACAAACCATTTCTGCAACAATATTGATATAGGGACCCAATCCTTGTAGCACTGATAAGTAGTCAACCAATTTGAGAGACCATATCACAGAGTTGCAAATTATCAGAATTCTTCCAAGGGTTCTTAAACAAAGCATTATAATTTTTGAAAATTCTCTCCAATTTTTTTTTTACTTTGTAGTAGGACTCAATCGAATGAAATATGCAATTAAATAAGTTATTAATCCAAATGCCAACAGCCCATTTCGATATTGGAAGAAGAAGACCCGTAGTTGTTTGAGAACAGGTTTACTGGTATCCATCATTATAGTTGATACAACTTTCCGACCTATTTCCAGTGTCCAAACGAAGATATATGCAAAAACGTACCACTCAGACCAACTTGCAATTCTAGAAAAAAGAAACTTTCAGTTTCTCAGAAAGCTACAAAGTTTCGAATCACCTCTGAGTTTTAACCAACAGGTTGTAAGTGAGCAAAATTAAAAAGAGAACGAACGCGAAGAACCAAAGCCAGTATGTAGTGATTGGAGCTTTGTAGAACTCCATGATCTTCTTTTTCCATGACAATGGACGTTGCTGAAAAAAAGTTGTTCTCATATTTCAGTTTTTCAACAAATTACCATAAGCACATGAACGGTTTCGTTGCGAGAAGAAGAGAATTCTCGAGAGGATTTCTGTCTTGGGTCTGTTTCCATTTCTTCACTTGGATCCATGTACATATCGTCATGGTTCACTGCAATCGCAACGGATCCACGTTTACCAGTTCGATTGATATCTGAAAAAGGAAAGTAGGGGTTCCTCAATTTGGTTTGCTGTAAGACCTGTAATAGAAGGGCCCCACACTGTCAAGTTTGAGCTCAATTATCTCGATTCCTGTAAAAAATTGCAAACATGTGTCAACTGATAAAATGTTTCTGATGTTATGGTAAACAGTTCATCAGTTGATAGCATATTTCTATCTTTGACAGGAACTGAGAAAAATTGGCTCAACGTTGAAAGTTAAATGTAATTGTGTTCCATTATCGATCACTTACACATTTCCGTTGCTTTCTTCTGCTCTTGCTCATCATCATCGTCAGATGGCTCAATTGTCAAACATGCCGGCGGTTTGATCACATTTTTCTTTGATTTTTTAATCGACATTGTCCTAGCCCGACTTCTACCCGCAATTGGAGGAGCAACCACTATTCGGTTGATTCCCATATCGTTTTTCTTTTTCTCAGAAAAGTTCAATTTGTCTCGAACCAACTGGAATTTCAATTGGTTCTTTTTTCAAAATGATACAAATTCAGAACATACTCTTTGAATACTCAATGGCTGATCTGCTCCCAAACTCTGAGCTCTATTTTTCGCTCCATCTTCATCAGACTCATCAGAATCTGAATCACTATCCGAGGAAGTTTCGGTTTCTTCGGCACTGTTCATTTCAGAATCGGACATTTCTTCATCATGCTCAGCGGCTGTTTTTGGTTGGAGCATCAACTGCTCTTTCGTCTTGAATCCAAGCAAGAAAATGAGTGGCGGAACTGCCAAACAAGCCAAAACTTTTGAGTTCTGATTGTTTTTCATTAGAAGACCTCCTTGCCAGAGATCAGATAAAAGCATTTGGCAACTAAAACAAGATAATCTGTTTCAGGGTGAAAGAGATTTCGAAAATTTTACCATGGATGTGCCAAAAACTTTCGATGTCCATTTTTTGCAGCTAACGAGAGACAAGTTTCATCTCCCCAGTTGTTCAATTCACAAGTCAATAAACGGAGAGTCTGGTCACGACTGTGTTTGGTACAGTACTCGAGAACTTCTACTGCCAAATCGGAAAATTCGCTATAAATGGACATTTGGGAACTATACAAAGCAATGAAATAACCCACTCGCTGAATTCTGTGAAATCCTGACTCATACCGATTTCTCCTGTTGCCAACGAAGCAGTTCTAGCAAGTGACATGTATAGGCGACTGGCAACAAGTGACTGAAAACCAAATCTATAGAATCACTTGGGTTCAAGCGAGGAGGTCAGAAAGCGCGCCCCAGCAAACTCCTAGGCCAGAAGAAATTTAATAATTTTAAAGTGGACGCGGGTTTGATCTAGATCATGATCTATTTCTTCAAAATCAACTGGTTGCAAGGCGCGCTTTTTCGCTCTTCATTTAAAATTGTGGAACTCAGTCAACGAAATTCGGCAGCGAATTTAGAATTTTTCCTAAATTTACTGGGGCGCGCTTTCTGACCCCCTCGCTTGAATCCAAGTGATAGAATGAAAATAATAATTTGACCTACTTTAGCCATTCCTTCTTCTCCATGGGTCCACATCAGTTTTGCCATTTTTTGCCTTTTCGTCAACACAGCCCATATCATTAAATCACTGTAGGGATAACGGAATGTAAAGTCCATGTTCGCTTCTTCTTCCAAATTTGAAAATTCTTCCTCTGAATTTGTAATATGAAACAAATTTCTTCAAATGATCAGTTTAACTTACCATCATCTGAATCTCTTCGTTTTCCTCCACCACCGAAAAGTGAAATAATGGAGTTTCTTGCATTATTAATCAAACTGATTTGCATTGAAGACATTCGTTCTCGTCCAGCATCTCCAGATGGTCCGATGACGTCGTCTCTACCACCATTACTATTATCCACACGTTTTCCGAATTGTTTCCGATTATTGAACAAAAAGTATTGATTTTTGAACTCCTCTTTTGTATAGTTTGATTTGTAAAGGTTTCCCATCAAATCTTCGACCAGTCTTCCAACTTCTAACAACTTAATACGATGCTTTGAATCCACCAATAAATTGGTTCTCAACGTATTCTGTGGTCCTTTTTCTGTATTATAAAGATGTTCCAATCTTCCATAAGTCAAAAATTTCTGCATTGAGACTCCATTTTCCAAAAGTAGATGAACAAAGTCAATACGATCATTTGAGAGAGCTTCAATCATCGCATTATGCAAGTCTTGAGTCGTCCATTCTGTTCCATTTGCAAATATTTCAGTTCGTGCAATATCTGCTCTATTCCAAGCGAGTGCCAATTGAAGTTGCTCTGGAGGTGACAAATTCTGGCCTTTTAGAAGACATGACATGATTGCATGATCCAAATCTTCACGTGAGGATTCGCCGAATCGGAAGATGGTCATCTGAAAGTAAGTAGTTGACAGATACAGTGATGTTCGGAACAGAATTCGGAATTCCCGAAATTCCGAAAAAAAAAGTTTAAAATGAAATTCCGGAATATTTCTGGAAGATATTTTTCGCAATGAAATTCTGACCGGAGAGCTTCCGGAAATTGAGCTTTTTGGACTACGATATGTCAAAAGAATAAAGTTTCTTTGCGGGTATAGGGCGAAATTATAATACTTCAGATTTTTTTTTCGCATTTTCGAAACCTATTCGTCAAGTTTTTCTTTTGTGCGGAAACTGGGATTCCGAAAACTTGAAGTTTTCGACACTCAAAAAAAGAATTCCAGAAAGGCCATTCCGAACATCCCTGGATAGATGTTGATTCCTGAAACATACCAATGATTTGTTCGTAGTGCATTCCACAATCTGCTTGATCATTTTTTGCGCAGTTTTTGGATCGTATCCAAATACTCGTCGAATAATATTAACCAATTGATTTCTAATGTTATCTGATAGGAAGCTAAAGAAACATAAATTGAAACTGAAAGCATAAAATAACTAAAAAAAAACTCACCCATTCTGAGAAACCGTCTGATGAGCAAAAGCGAGAATATCAGCTGCTCTTCCACTTCCATCACAAACGATTACAGGGATTCGAGGGATTCTAAGAACAAAGAATAGAAGGCATTTGAAGAGAAGAAGTCTTACGTTGTCACATAATCATGAACCATTTTAATAGTGAATGCGCCTCCTTCTAATACGACACAAATCAGTGGGATTGCACTTCTTTTCTTGTCGCCTTGAGCCAAATATGTCTCCAAACGTTTCCGTAGGATAATTTCAGCACCATATCTGAAAAATTTATTTTTGAATCTAGGACTTGACTAAAAATATCTACCGATTAACAGTTCCGTTATCGGAAAACAAGAAGTATGAATGATTATCATTGAGTTCTTTCAATCTTGTATTGTTGAATACATTCGTTGCATAGGTTACTGTAGAATCTTTTCCAGAAAATCGATTTCTTTGTTTCAACATTCCCCATGATGCGATTCCGATCGCTACGTGTTGTTTCTTTGCCGCATGATGATTTCCTTGATCTGAAATGTCCCCCCAATGACTTCTAAAGGCTATTCGTCTTCAATTTTCTAACCATGCAGTGCAGAATCCAAATGTCTAACAACGCCTTCATCCAACCCAGAAGTTATAATCCAAGCGTCTGTTGACTTTGCAATCTTCATGATTCCTTTTCGGAACGTCCGTGCCAATTTTGGTTGCAGACTGCAAATTCTCTTATCATCATAATTTTCCAGGCTCCCTCTTTTCTTTTGCTTCCATTCTCTGATATCATTTTCTCGATCAAATTTTATCATAGAAAACCAACACCACCTAGAAGAGAATTGTGGCATTCCTGATGACGTCAAAAAAATGTAACTTATCAGTTTTTGGAGGAGAAAGTTTTTAGGGAAAAATCACTTGGAAACGGAAAAGATTATCATCTTATTTCGTATTCGGTAGGTGTTTAAGAATTAGTCCAGAACGAAAGATCATGTTCAGTGATTTAAGAACCCAGTTTTTACTTTTTTTTTATTTTCATTCAATTAAAGTACTGAAAAATACAATATGCAAAATCGTATTTTTCAGTTGATTCTCGTTCATTTGGTTTAATTTCAGGAGGTTGGAGCTCGGCTGTCAAGTGACCAATCACTTTGAAAATTTTGGAGGATGGGAAACAGAACTAGATTAAAGACTTTGGGTTTACAAAATTTCGAAAATGCCTAGTTTTTCAGTTGTTTAACGATTTCTGAAAGAACCAGTTTGTTTTCAAAATCAAAAACCGGAAATCAACTGAAAGATACGTTTTTGTGTATCTTATTGACCGGTTCTGTATAATTGTTGACTCACTCGAATTTGGTCAGTCCTCCATTAATTGTGATGATCAATTTCGGCGGTCTTAACTTCCACACTTTCATCATTAAATGCACAATATCTCTTGGATCTGTATCAAAACTGACACGAGCGTATTGAGCATGATGAGCAGTTCCTAAAATCAAAATTCATAATTTTAAATCTTTTTTTTTGAAAACTCTAAACCTTCGAAGACAATATTTCCATAAGAATCGGTTGGCATAACTTCTGTGTGAGTTTGAATTGACCAACGACCAGGAGCCAAGTTGACCTGAATTAACTTTTTCCTGGTATAAGTTCTTAAATTAATGGAAGGAATGTTCAACTTTCTATTTATAGAAAGTATATAAATATAAACTCTTACCTCATTTCCATCACCATCTGCATCGGTTGTATCGACTTCTTGAATTCCAGGAAGTGTTAAATGATTCAATGGATGTCCTTTTCCTTGACTTCTCTCGATAACTTCATCCGAATGTTTCGATTTGTCTTTTCCACATCCACATCGTTCCGAGAATCTTTGAGATGGGACAAAGTAGGAACATTGTCTCATTTTCAGACGACATTCTATCCAGTTTTTCCCTTTCTGATAATTTATATAAATTCAAAGTCGTATAGGTTTTCAGATAGCTTACCAAAGAACCGGCTCTTGTTGCATGTCCAGAATGACTTGTTGTAGAATTTCCTCTCTGTAAAAATTTTTATCTGAAGAAGAACTATGTTTCTGATACCTTTCGTCCAGAAATATCTGCCAAGTGGAGCATATCCTTCCAATCAAACTTCTGAACATGTCGAGGTGCAGAGTTCAGCGGAGCGGATCCATCAGCTGGAATATCAAATTGAGAGAAGTAAACGAGAAGTAGTTTTATAGTTTTAGCTTTCGAATATTTTAATAATCAACTCACCACTACTACTTCTTTGCTTCTTTCTTCTTCTCTTTCTCTGCGTCTCTCTTTCGACCTCATTCTCTTCTACAGTAACACTGTTAGCTTTGAGACTGTCTGCCACTGCTTTCTTAAAATTTCAGAATTTTTAAAGGTTGCAGAACTCTATAACGACTCACATGGATGGCAGGAACTATACTTCCACGTTTTCTGTCCATTCAACTCAAACTAGCTCTTCAATCGTAGATCAACCCTTGTTTTTTCGTTTTGGTGTTTCCCTAAATACTATTTTCCCATTTAATGTAAAACCTGTAATAGAAGGGCCCCCTTGAAAGGTAGCAAAAAGTGGTTAACGGAAAAAATGTTTTTGATATTATGATAAACATTTTGCCAGTTGATAACATTTTGATATCTTTTACAGGAACGGAGATATTTGGGCTCAACGTTCATAGTTAGGAGTTGCCTTCTATTGAGATGCTTAAGGTATTTATTATTGAAAAAGTATTCCATTAAATCAATTTAAAACCCAGGAAAATAAAAGTGGTTAGTAAAATTTTGGTATGCTATAAAAGTCAAAAAGTAGAGACATCGATGACAGTTGAAACATGAAAAATGGGTGAAGATGACTGTGATAAGAGGTAACAGAAAAGCGGGAGAGTGCACACGTAGCGGGCAGTTTTAATCAGAAGAAGAACTAGATGGCGACTAAACACATTTTTGTCGATGATCATTATTAATAAGGAGTCGGAAGAAAAGTGAAGAATAAAAAAGAATCGAGTGGAAAAGAGACCAAGTTTAGGGTGGAAAAAAAGAATTGGGAGAGGGAAATAGCAGAGTACACACTTTTTGATTTCTATTGATAAAATGTAGTGGAAAGATATATTAAAGCCGAAGTCACACATCTTCACATCAAGCAAGTAGCAATATGCGATCGTTAAATGATGGAACTATATCAATTACGGTTTTAATTATTTTCTATTATATCTCTGCTGTCCGCTTGCAACTTCTAATCAGAAGTTGAAAGAGCTCTGCCTTTGGACTGATATTGGCCAGGTTCTGGTCGAAAGTTGCCCGAAAACGGCTGTATAGCGGGCCATGGTCAGATTTTTGTCGGAATTGGAAATCTGAAATATTACTAGGTCGGAATTTGTCGGCTTCATTAGTGGTCTCATCCGGAATCTGACCAACTTCCGAGTAGAAGTTACCAGCAACGCTCGAGTTTTGAACACGGAATAAATACTCATCCCCTGAAAATTTTAGTTTTTGGTATCAATCGAATCAGTTTGTCGATTGTCGTGTACAACATTAACTTCTTCTTAGAGATAAGTCTGAAAATTGATCTTGAAAATTGTATTTGAAATTTTTATTCTTTAGAATATTGTCATTTCGCACCCAAGTTTTAGTTTTATTTCAGGTAGTTTCTGAGGAAGTCACAATGTCAGAAACTATTATCCTTATTCCTTCCTTTCCTAGTAATTTCTTATATTGTTCCATTTTTACATTCCTGGGATTTTAAGTGCTTCAAAAATTATATCTAATCTTGACGTCTTGCTCTTGCACTAATCTCTGTATTGTGATATCTCTTTTATGTCTAATTCCAAAATAATGTTGAACAATTCAACGTCTCACGTGTTTCTTTTCATTCTAATCTCCTCCGATTTCTTATACTCACAAATCCATTTTGTTTCCAATCCCTTCCATTTCCCCTCATTCTTTTTCCAATTTCTTCAAAGTTCTTTCCTACGATGCTCTCGAATCCAACGAGCCTGTAAGTCTTCTAAAAATGGAAATTTTGAATAAAGAAAATTCAAAATGTTCAGTTACCTGGACGAACTTCTCAATGAGATGAGTCAACTTTCGGAGAGTTCAATGGATTTCAAGAATACTCGAATTCTATTGTCCAGAGAAATTTCGAGAGTTTTCGAAGAAATGACTCGAAACGACACTGGATCAAAGCAGAAAAGATATGGATCAGAAGATCGCAGAACTGAATTCTTCTCGGTAAGAATAAGATTTCAAATTTTATTCCGTTCTTTAAAACTCCATTTTCAGCCCCAAATTGTTCATCCATCACCAAGTGTTCAATCACCATACACACCATATTCATCGTTTCAATCTTTATACACGCCTTCTGTTCTCAAGTCTTCAAATCCATTTGTAACCCCAATGAAACATGGAAGAATCAACTCTCCAGAGCAATTTCTGGGTGATTGGACTCGTGGAAATGCTTCGTTGAATGGAAGCGAATCACCATATGTTCTTCAGACAAAGATCTACATTCCAGAGGCACCGGCCAGAGAGAATGCACAGAAACCGTCAGTTGTTTCTCCAACGTTTCCTATAAATATTAGTGTTCAGAAGATACAACTACGTTGGTCGCATCCTTGGTCCATCTGGATCATCAGCTCGACAAATTGAAAGTCAATACGATGTGACTCTTTTGATTCGTGGAGCTGGTTCAATGAAAGATGCTCGAACTGAGGCAGAATTGAAAGGAAGAAAGAAGTACGAGCATCTGAATGAACGACTTCATGTTCTTCTGATTGCAAGAAACAATGACAAACAGAAGTAAGTGATTCTTATTCCAATTCAGTTCAATTCAGTTCAATCATTCCAGATGTGAACAAATTCTGGACAAAGCAGCAGAGAAGATTGAAAGTCTGCTGGTTCCTGTGCATGATGATTATAAGAAAGATCAACTGGTCCGTTATGCAATTATGAATGGAACATATGAAATGAGAAGTGACAAGAAGATGGAGTCAGCTGGTAGAGGAAGACGTTCCGTTCAATACAATCAAACTCATAATTAAAGATAAATCCTATTTTATTTGGGCACTCATGATAAAGTATTTTGATTTAATTTTCTTTTTCTTTATTGTATTCAAACACACTTCAAGTTTTTTCACACAAAAACAATGACTTCCTCTAAAAACAAAAAATTCCTGTGTCCTCTCCACCCATTTTCCTCTTTTTCCAAGTTGTGGCTTCTTTTTTCCTAATGAGGAAGTCATAGTGAATATTGCTTTACACTCATCTTAATGCAAAAAGGTGTAGGAGTAACAAAATGATAAAGAATGAAGAATTGGTATAAAAGGACAGAAGAGACAAGAGGAAGGTACGATTCAATGCGAACCAACTAAGCCAACCTGCCCACCAGGACCACCAGGACCACCAGGACAGCCAGGAGCTCCAGGACAACCAGGTGCACCAGGACCAAGAGGAGAAGACAACACAGCTACATACGCTCCAATTCACTGCCCACCTCCTGTTCTCGATTGCATCCAATGCCCACAAGGACCAGCCGGACCAGCCGGACCAACAGGACCACCCGGACCAGCTGGACCATCAGGACAACCAGGATTCCCAGGACAACGCGGAAATGACGGATTCCCAGGAGCTCCAGGGGCACCAGGAGACAATGGACAGCCAGGAGCTCCAGGACAAGACGGATTCCCTGGACAACCAGGAGCTGACGGACAACGTGGAGCTGGTACTCCAGGAGCCCAAGGAGCTCCAGGAAATGCTGGACCAGCTGGACCAGCAGGACAACCAGGATTCCCAGGACAAGACGGAGCTCCAGAACAAGCTGGACCAGCTGGGCAGGATGGATACCCAGGAAACAATGGATCTGATGGACAACCAGGATCTCCAGGAGGACCAGGACTCCCAGGAAACGATGCTGCTTACTGTACCTGCCCACCAAGATCTGCCGTTTTCCTTTCTCGTCATTAATCATTTTATCATTTGTATTCACAATTCCTACTTTACAAATAAAGTTATACAGGAAAATTTCGAATTTTGTACAATTTAATAAAAACGGTTTTTTCTGTAATAACTTTTTTTCCTATGCGCTTAATTTATTTTGGCAATACATATGAATGGCCGTCTAATAATGCTTCGTCGATTGGATTTCCTTGGGAAGTTCTTGCATTTTTTCTCAATGTTCCGTTTATTTTCGACGAATCATTTGAAGATATTCATACTGCATTGCTTCTTTTATTCGCCCTGATACAAAGCGCCTTTCTGTGCAACCTTTTCGCTTTTATTCAATTCAATTTTGACTGTGTAAGTTATTTTAATGTTATGAGGTTCGAATTTTTGTATTTGTGACACAACCTCATAAATATATAAGAACAAAGTACATTCTGAAATGTTGAGTGTAAATAACCAATACATTTTCAGGGTATACGATATGCAAGAGCAATGGTTTTCTTTTATACATTTTATGTTTTCCAACGATCTCTTCGTGGCGAAACAATCCTCATACCCAAACTACCTTTGAGAATACATTGGAAATCAATCACTCTAATCACAATATTCTTCTTCTCAACTGGATATTTCATATTCCCATACACGGTAAGTTTTCCTTTATTTTATCGTTTAATATGTGTTTTTATTTTCAGACAAACCTCCTGATGTATCAACATTTCTACGTTTACTGCCTGTGTATCGAAACATCTATTTGGTATTTCACAAAAGAGTTTCGAATGTTTCCACGTCATCCAAGATCTAACTACTTTCTTTTTTTGAGAGCCTATAACCTTACTGCGCACCGGATTTGAATGATTTCTCGTTCATTCTGAACTACCATTTTATTGTTTTCAACCCGACCCTAATCTAAAACTTTCCCAATCATCCTTTTTCAAATATTGTCTGGCAATGTGTTTTCTTTTTACCTTCTTCCAGATTAATAAATCCATCGAAGTTATTTTTATACATAAGTAAAAAAATAAAGTAAATGCACCAATGAATAATCTGTCGTTTTCTTTTCCTTTAGCTTAGTCGTATTGTATTCCTTATTTTGTACAAAATGGTGTTGTCTTTTTATTTCAGAAAGGCAAGTGTTACATGTAACGAATATTTATTTTGTAGATCAAAACTATTCTTATTTAGAAAAGGCGCGAGCTTCAGATTCATATTTTTCTACTTGAATGTTTCAATTCTTCTTTTCTTTTTTTAATAATACTTGTTGTTTTCAGCTTCGAATTTGAAAGGATAGTAGAATAAAATGGAGTTTCATTGAGCGACGGAGAGAAGGACAGGGAAAAACCAGAAAAAGTGGTGGGAAATCAGCAAAAATATGAAGAAAAAGGAAAAAAATGGACGAGCGAAAAGATATACATTGGTCCTTCAGCGATAAATTTGAAGACGGAATCGTGGAATGGGACGATTATCAGTGTGTTCGAACTCTCCTTCGACCACTTATCTGAAAAAAGGATTTCAAGGTAAAATTCCAGTTTTACAAAGATTTTCTTACTCAATCGACACCCAATCCATTCCCTTAATCTTTTTGATATCCTCCAATGTACACATTCCTTTTCCTCGAACCACATTTTGCATTGTTGCTTGTAGCTTATCATTTCCTTTTAATCTTTTCCGGATCACATAGTAGTCAAATTTTTGATTCTTGGAGTTCCCTTTTGATTCTCGGAGTTCCAGATACTCCTTGCGCACAGCCTCCCTCAGAAATGATCCACCGTAATGCTTGTCCATTTTCCGAATATCGTCTGCCAGAACAGTTGATCCTCGACTCGCATATTCACTGACCTTGTTGATCATCTGGTGAAGTGGCGATCCAAGTCTTGCGATTTCTTCTCCTTTCTCCGTGACGGTCGCAATGTAGGAGACGCTATAAGTGCTCTGTAGGTTCGGGGAGAAACCTAAATGGTTAGCAGCCACTTTTACGAGTGTGTTGAAATCACCAATAACTGAGTTTTCAGTGATGACAACTGGAACTTGTGAACCGCGACGGTGGAAGGATTGCTTTGAGAAGAAACGCGAAACCATATGACTGAAATATTCCGGGCTCAATTCAAAGGCATCCACGAGATTAATGGTTCTATTGTGACGTCAATTCCAGCGATTCAAGAGTCGTTCTTTCATTCCTTCGAAGACCAACGGAAAATTTTTGGACAGGAAATATAGCAGGGATTGAATCGCAATGACCGATGCAGCCTTATAAGGAAATCGATTGTATGATGGACTGAGCAAATCGAAAGCATATGTTAACAGTGGACCAAGAAGAAAGGAGAGAATCCCCACTATGGCTGTGATTCTCCATCCGTATCCTCTGCCAATGTTAATTGCTCCGAACGCTGAAAATTGATTTTTGCCGATCTGTTTTTCATAATTTTTACTCACTCAATCCGATTCCTGCTCCCATGCTATTCAATCCCACACCGTAGAAGGCCAATCCAAAAACGTTGATGATGAACGGCATGGAGACGAAGTGATGCAGTTTTGGAATCATCACCGTGCTTGGTGATGATTCCAGAACGAGGGTCCAGTATGGGGTCTTTACTTGTTGACCATTCACATGTGATTGCAATTTTCTTTGCTCGTTTTCCAGATCTTGCATCAGTACCAGCGAGAAAAACCCAATCATCAAATTCCAGAAGGTGAAATTTCTGGGTTCCGGTTACAAGATGGCGAAAGCTTTTTGGAAGAAGCTCATTTTGACGATTGTGAAAAGTGATTATTGTAAATTCAAAAAAATAGCACCGGTGAACACACAAGCAAACAAGTAAACAAGGGGGCGGAGCGATCCGCCCCTTTTCGCAAAGGCGCCGCGCAGTTTTTCGGCGGTATTTTAGCGTCGCCGTTTTTCGGTAATTTTTCACCGAGTTTCTTCCGAATTCAAGGAAATTCGTCGATTTTGTGAAGGAATATATAACTTTGTTTGAATAAAAACTGAGAAACACAATTGAGAAACAATATTCTTCGATTCAGGGTAAAAATGAAAAGATCAAGACCAGGTGACGTATCGAAGGAGACAATGATGGAAAGAAGAGGTAGAAAAGCTTCGATATCATATAAATAAATAAATTACCACTGCAAACTTTTTGTTTAGTCTGAAGTTTCCAAGTGTTTATCTTGAAGAAATCTTTTGAAGCCAAGCCAGAACCTGAAAAACTCGATCGGAGAAGTATTTAGAGTTATTTGTCGACTAACCGCAGATTATTCATCACTTCTTCATAGTTGTGATACAAGAAGACGATTTTTCATATTAGATGATAGATTAATCAGAAGAAAATCGATGAATTTTTTTGAATTCGGAAGAAATTCGGTGAAAAATTACCGAAAAACGGCGACGCTAAAATACCGCCGAAAAACTGCGCGGCGCCTTTGCGAAAAGGGGCGGATCGCTCCGCCCCCTTGTTTACTTGTTTGTTTGTGTATTCACCGATGCTATTTTTTTGAATTGACAATATTCTCATTATGATACTGTTGAAATCACTCATTATTTGATCTGTTTTTTGGCTCGAAATCGTATGCGGTCTTTGCGAGAGCGAATTGTTGGAAATGTCGGTGGAGTCGGTGGCACTGTGCGTAAAAGAAGGTGATAGTTCAAAGCCTTATAGAGTTTATATAGACCATGATTGAATGAGGTCCTCATTTTGAGGAACAAACATGTTTTCCAAAATTTCGGAAATGGGGAATCCTATTTCATTCTTATAGTAATTAAATATCACACTGAAATGCACATTCTTGAAAAACCTCTCAATTAAGAATATATCATTGGAAATTTTGATAATGCATTGGTTAAAGGTGGGGGGACAGGAGATTTTCCGTAGTTTTTTTGTAGCTAGAGTATGCATTCTACCGTCACGGTGTACAACGCTTAATGTCACTCTGCGTACAGCTGTCGTCCTCGCCTTTATGTATGCAATCGGGCGTGCGCTTTCTCTCTGCCCGTGTGGCTCAGTCGGTAGCGGCGCCGCACCCTCAATCATCGCCCTCACAAGTTCAACTCCTCGAGGGGGCATCTTTGAACGGAATTTCGAGAACATTATTTTTTTTCCTGTCCCCCACCTTTAAGACCAATTTTGGTACGGAAATTGATATATCTCGACTGAAACTGGACAGCTGATTAAAACAATTATTGGGTTTCTAGACATTGTAGGATTAGCCTCCAAGTTTCTAATGAGGATTCCTATCATTCTTTCATGAACATGATGAATACAGAACACAAATAATACAAATAAGGTTTATTCAAGAACTAGAAAGTTTAGCAGAATCTACATTTCAAATTTAATATAAAAATTCAAGAACATGAGTTACATAAAAAAAGGTTAGATTGAAAAAGTAGAGAACCAAAAAGATCAGTAAAGCTAATTGTAAGAAATATATCGGAATCTGAGATTGCAAGGCACTGATTTTCTCTGTTATTGTAATTAATGAATGACATTCTGCTAGTGTTGGGAACCAAAAGGATTCGCGGAAGTTCTGATAACGGTTATTCATTTTCGGAATTTCAAAGAAAAACATTACAATCAAATCTTCGTGGTTATATTTGCAATGATTGCAAATCTTATTCACTGTGAAAATTAATTGAATGACATAGTATTACAAACTTTACCCAACAATTTACCGCAAAAGTTGCAAAACAAGGATGTCTTACCTCTTTTAAAAAACGACTTCAAGTTAAAACTCCAAGTAATTTTTTATCGTTTTCTGTGAAAAATGAAAACATGTAATCAATTGGTACAGGGTGGTTTTTAATTACCGGCACACAATTTTGGCGCCATGGTTCTCGTTGCTGGTACGCAATAGGAGCATCAAATTTTGTACATTGATTTATTGATTCATAATTAGTATTTCTGCCAAGTTTCAGATTTATTGGTTGAGTTTCAGCTAAATGGCGAGACCTAACGTCCACCAATGTGACCGTTATCAGCCTTCATTAGTAGGGCGTTAGTCGAAATGTGATCATTAAACGCATTGCGATTGGAGATATGTGGTTTTTTGAGGTTATCAAAAGATTCACCGAGTCTAGATCTCTATTTGATCGCATTGGGAGAGTAAGAAAAGCTACGGTGGCAACTCCAGAGAACGTCGAAGCTGTTTGAGATCAAATCAGGAGTAGCCAACATAGATCGCTCAGAACATTTTTCATGGATATGGTTATCTATTGGTTTTTGTACTAAAAGATAGGCCGAAAGAAGTTAGATCTAAAATGCTATTGTATTCTGAGAGCAGTCATCTTGTCGGTGAGCAATAAGCATACGCGTCTGGAGGAGGCTCAATTTCCTCGGGATAGCACGCAGTGAGGAGAACATTTGGGGCCCGTTTTCTTCAAGTGGTTCACGATTGAAGTTGAATTCAATTCTCAAAGTTATTGTGTATTAGCCAAGGATATCAAGGAAGCTCATGAGACAGAAAAAACCATTCCTCGAGTTTTCCACCCAACCAGAATTACGGTTTTTGGTGCGATATGCTCAATTTTTATAGATAAAAACGTCCGTATCGCCGAGAAAAGGTATATCGAGCAAATCTTGAAGAAGAATCTGCTTCCAAGGACCAAATACTACTTTGAACGGGTACATTTGGTTCACCAGAATGACGGAGCTCCGACCCACACCGCCAAACTCATCCAGCAGTGGTGCGAGGCACACCTGCCTGTGGGGACAAATGGCCAGCCTACTCGCCGGATTTGAAACCCCTTGCCTATTCCATCCAGAGTTTGGCAGAACAAGATCTGCCCAAGACTATTCATCTTTCGCGGCTCTGGAAGAAACACTTTTCGAGAAATGGGACAAACAGTGGACCGTGCCACCACAAATGCCTACCGAAGACGTCTCCAAGCCGTAATTGAGGCGAACGATGATCGAATCGAAAAATTCTTTTTGTTTATAATTTTTGTACGCCCAAATAAATATACTGTCGAGTTTCACCAGTTTTCGGCTTTTACTTTTCGAGAAAACCTCTTTCAAAGATGTGCCGATAATTAAATGCCACCCTGTAAAACATTTACCATAATATCAAAATCATTTTGTCCGTTGACAATTTTTTGACACTCTTTAGAGGAACCGAGATAAATTCAGTCAAAGTTGACGGTTAAATATTCTTCTGTCACAGGTTAGATAAAGCTTGAATACATTAATTTATTATACTCTGATAGAATTATTGATCTGGAAGAAGGTAAAAAGAAAACACATTGCCAGACAATATTTGAAAAAGGATGATTGGGAAAATTTTAGATTAGGGTCGGGTTGAAAACAATAAAATGGTAGTTCAGAATGAATGAGCAATCATTCAAATTCGACGCACAGTAAGGTTATAGGCTCTCACAAAAAGAAAGTAGTTGGGTCTTGGATGACGGGGAAACATTCGAAACTCTTTTGTGAAATACCAAATAGATGTTTCGATACACAGGCAGTAAACGTAGAAACGTTGATACATCAGGAGGTTTGTCTGAAAATAAAAACACATATTAAACGATAAAATAAAGGAAAACTTACCGTGTATGGGAATATGAAATATCCAGTTGAGAAGAAGAATATTGTGATTAGAGTGATTGATTTCCAATGTATTCTCAAAGGTAGTTTGGGTATGAGGATTGTTTCGCCACGAAGAGATCGTTGGAAAACATAAAATGTATAAAAGAAAACCATTGCTCTTGCATATCGTATACCCTGAAAATATATTGGTTATTTAACTCATTATCAGCATTACATAATGCATTTTGTTCTAATATGAGTAACAAATATACAAATTCAAACCTCAAAATGATAAAATAACTTACCCAGCCGAAATTGAATTGAATAAAGGTGAAAAGATTGCATAGAAAAGCACTTTGTATCAGACCGAATAAAAGAAGCATAGTAGTATGAATATCTTCAAATGATTCGTCGAAAAGGAACGGAACATTGAGATAAACCGCAAAAAATTCCCATGGAAATCCATTCAACGAAGGATTATTAGATGGCCATTCAATAGAATAGGTACCGAGATAAATTAAGTACATTGGAAAAAAAGTTAATACAGAAAAAACCATTTTTATTAAATTGAAAAGATGTGAACTGACGATACAATAAGGTTGAAAATCAATAAGAACGCCGTGAAAAATAGATAAGTTGCCTTCTGGGAAGTCACATCGATCTGACATTCCTCCTCTTCCTACGATTGGACCTCTTTCTTTTATACACTGTTTCGTTCATTGTCGAGAATACAAAATTCGAAATTTTCTTGTATAACTTTATTTGTAAAATAGGAATTGTGAATACAAATGATAAAATGATTAATGACGAGAAAGGAAAACGGCAGATCTTGGTGGGCAGGCACAGTAAGCAGCATCGTTTCCTGGGAGTCCTGGTCCTCCTGGAGATCCTGGTTGTCCATCAGATCCATTGTTTCCTGGGTATCCATCCTGCCCAGCTGGTCCAGCTTGTCCTGGAGCTCCGTCTTGTCCTGGGAATCCTGGTTGTCCTGCTGGTCCAGCTGGTCCAGCATTTCCTGGAGCTCCTTGGGCTCCTGGAGTACCAGTTCCACGTTGTCCGTCAGCTCCTGGTTGTCCAGGGAATCCGTCTTGTCCTGGAGCTCCTGGTTGTCCATTGTCTCCTGGCGCCCCTGGAGCTCCTGGGAATCCATCATTTCCGCGTTGTCCTGGGAATCCTGGTTGTCCTGATGGTCCAGCTGGTCCGGCTGGTCCTGTTGGTCCGGCTGGTCCGGCTGGTCCTTGTGGGCATTGGATGCAATCGAGAGCAGGAGGTGGGCAGTGAATTGGAGCGTATGTAGCTGTGTTGTCTTCTCCTCTTGGTCCTGGTGCACCTGGTTGTCCTGGAGCTCCTGGCTGTCCTGGTGGTCCTGGTGGTCCTGGTGGGCAGGTTGGCTTAGTTGGTTCGCATTGACACCAAGCTGGAAGTCCAGAGAATGTTTGACGCTTCTGACGGAAAACGGAGTTGAATGGATTGACACGTGGTTTGGTTGGTGGAGTAACAGTCACTTGAATATCCATCATTTCAGTCCAAGCGGAATCAGTTTCAACACGGAAAACTGAGACTCCATCGAGAACCTGAACGTACCAAATGGATATCGATCTTATTAACTTTTATGGACCTGATCATGAACTTCATTGATAGTATTGTAAAGGGATGGAACAGTAAAAAGGACTGCCAAAACGGCAATGGAAGCTGCTCCGGTTGAAATGGTTACAAGAATCTTTTCCATGACTGAATCGTACCTTCCTCTTGTTTCTTCTGTCCTTTTATACCAATTCTTCATTCTTTATCATTGTGTCACGCCTACACTTTTTTGCATTAGGATGAGTGTAAAGCAATATTCACTATGACTTCCTCATTAGGAAAAAAGAAGAGGAAAAAGCCACAACTAGGAAAAAGAGGAAAATGGGTGGAGGACAGTGGTCGTTTAACAGGAAACCTAGATAAAGAAAGTGATCGAGGACAATGCGTTTGTTCTCTTGTGAGGTGGAAACTTAAGTTTCAGTCGAACTTTTCCTTGTTGTAATGAAGTTTGTAATGGGAATGGTTGAACAAAAAAACAATAGTTTTATGATTTTTATTTATTAAACTGCTAAAGATTTCATTATAAAATAAAGCAAAATTTAAAGTTCAAAATGGTTGGTGATGATGATTTGTATGAGATAATTCAGGGAAAAACTGTGAAACAATTTCCTTGTTGAACATTGGAGTCAATCTTAATCCATCTGCCCAGTTCTTCTCCAGCGGTCGATTCATGTCGTCAGCTGTCATCCCAGTTGGCCTCAGATAGTCTTCAATAGATTTCGTCATTTGGAGAGGTAATTTTGGGAAGGATGCAAGAGAATTTGGACGATATGGAGATTGGAAAGGACTTGACGTTGTTGGATAAGAAGAGGTAGATTGCATTGAATATTCTGGATATAATGGTTGTGGTTGAGGAGGAGGAGCAACAGGATGAGGTGATAATGAAGGAGGAGAAAAGTGAAATAATGAAACAGTTTCAAGTGGTTGTACTGGAGGAACTGATGATAGTGGTGGTCCCATTTGTTGATTTGATTGTTTTCGACAAGCAGCAGTTGTCATCAGAAGATCAGAAACTTCTGGATTGATAATATCCGTAAGGATTTTATGAAACGGAATCTTCAAATCAGAATCTCGAGTGTAGAATGGTTGTTGAGACTGACGAAGACTAGTTGACAGATTCTGGAAATTTCTCGATTATGATTTTCAATGATTGTTATTTACTTTTGACTCAAAAATAAAGTGGAGAATTGCTGATAAACTGTTGGCAGATGAAATTGATGTTTTGTTTCTGCTGTGCTTTATCACTTTGAATAACAATTCTGACAGATTCTCTCGCGCCAATGTTAAACTTTCGTTTAGAGAATTCGAGATCATTGTGCTTTCTGGAAATTTGAAAGTAACTTCTTCATGCTTCTGAAGTATTACCTGCTGTTGTGACAATGTATGCTTTCAGCACGGAATACTCAATTATGGAAGGGGGTTTCCGGAGAAAAATCTCAAAAACATCTGACAGTTTTTGAGTCAAGTGAGATGTGCATCTGTAAGAAATAATTTTTTCCTGTTCAAATTTCAATTTCAAGTTCAAGGTGAAATCTTACAAAGGTAATTGAAGAAGAGAGGTTTTCAGATCCTCCAATCCTGGTGTTCCTTTAACTACAAATCTAGAAATAGACTCAAAAAATAAAAGATGAATCAAGGTATCACTGATGAGGGCACTCTGAAAAATCAGCCTTCAAAGATTAAATATTTTGTAATTTTACCTTGTCTTCTACACTGAATTTTCTGCAGTGTTCATCTTCCAACATATTCAAAAACCGATCAATAAAATCCACATTTTGTACGATCCTCTCAATAGAAATGAACTGATCACTAGATTGTCTCGGTGAGGTTGAACAATCCATCGCTTCAGAATCTCCCGTTTTTCTGGCAAGTGACCGATCAGCAATCAAACTTTTCAGTGAGAAATTTCCGATTCCGTCGAAATTAGTAGAAGTCGTACATATCTCAGAAAGTTTTGTGATTTCAGTTAGCTGCTTTCGTGAAGATGGAGATAGGAGAGATGTCCAATCAGAAGGATCAATGGCCATCCGATTTGACATACTTCTAGAGAGACTTTTCTTCTTTGATAACAACGTTTTTCCTTTTTTACTCTTTTCTCTGTCAGGTCGAACGTCTGTAAAAGTTTTAAGAAAGTGTATAAAACACTGGTATTGTTAACATACAATCGGGATTCATTCCAACCAGAAGACACTTCCGGAACCGACAATATCGACACGCATTCCTTTCAACTAAAATGGAGTAATTCGTTTTCTTTTTTGTTAGAAAGTAAACTAACATTTAGTGACTTCACAATTCTTCTCAAATCGACAAACATATTTGTTCCGACCGTCTTTAACTGCTCGACGAAAGAATCCCTTACAGCCAAAACACGCAAGAACTCCGTAATGAATCTGTAACGTTTTCAGAACATTTTTAGCAGTTACTTGATTCCAAAATTCATACCTTAGCAGGAGTATCTCCACAAACAGCACACACTCGATTAGTATACGATTGCATTTTTACTGTCAATTCACGTCATAAAACATACGACTACCGACCTGAAAAAAGTAGAAACTGAAGGCAACAAAACGGTGACGATGGTGAAAAAAAGGGCGAGGTGACCGAATTTGACGCAGTTTTTTCATCTAGATGGGATGTGAAATTATTTGAAAAATGGTCGAATCGTGAGGTTTGGAGTGAGAGGATAATGTAGATTGCGTAAAAGTGCGATGATCTTCTTTTAGCCGATGGTTTTACAGTAAGGCTACATTTAGGATACGGTAGCTTTTTTCAGAAGTTTGATCTACACATTTTTTCTGAACTTATTATTTCGAAACGTTTCTAGTCTCTCGGATGTCCGCTTAGAACTTCTTGTTAGAAGTTGAAGGGTGTTCGGTTTTTTGAAGTTGCCGAAAAACGGCTGTATAGCGGGCCATGGTTAGTTTTTCTAAGGGAGTGGAAAGTTGAAATACTACTAGGTCGGAACCTTGTCATCTGCTTTAGTGAAAGTCTTATCCGGAATCTGGATGCAATATTTTTAGGAAGAGGTGTGAATTCAAAAAAAAGAACAAATTGAAAATGGAACTTTGATGAATTGTTGTTTGCAACTAGGTTCTCATTCAATTACTTCTCTAGTAAGAAACTCCACAGTATTTAATTTGAACGTAAAGATGACTCATCAGGAATGGAGCCAATGAGCAAAAAGAGAGAGCTCCTGGCTCTTTGCTCCGTCAAAAAGATACCTTGGAAAGAAAAATGAGAAAAGAGAGAATGTTATGGTCTTTGTGTGAACTTTTGAGCAATCAAAAGTCGATGAGAAAATCTTTTGGTGAGAGAAAAAAGAGAAGACGGTGCAAACGGAAGAACCTCGTTTTCTGATATAGGAAATTGAAGAGATTGAGCGATTTTAATAGGTGGAAAAATGTCAAAGACAAAAAAGAGTAACAATGTAATAGGGTTAATAAATTGAGCAGCAACATTTGTTTGCAGGAAAGATATCAAGATACGCTGAGAAAACGGGAGGAGGGTTATGATTTTTTGATTTGTAAAGATGTATTGTAGTTTGTGTTCTTTGATATTGGAGAAATTCAGTTTATTGGACTTCTAGAGAAGCTCTAATTTATTTGAAGTTCTTTTAAAAATTTCTTTAAAACATTTCAGATGCACAAAAATGTATCACAGTTGAAAATGATGGGAATTTTTTCCCAATTTGAAATCAAGTCACTGATTCTTTTTTTGTTGATAAAACCGTTACTATTGGATGAAAATTTTTGCCAATTCATAAATTCTTTACACTTTTAGAAAAAGTTTCTCGGGAAGTTCAATAGTACACACTACGGTACACCTCAAAAAAAAAGACAATAGAGGAGAGCATTTCACACACCGGAGAACACTGGACAACTTGTGTAAATACTAGCAACTTTTCAGACAACTGGTTCCTTTCCCCTGATTGCACATGAATTTCGTTTTTTTGCAGTCAATACTGAATCATGAAACTTTGAAAATGGTTTTTTTGATGTACCGTAAACATTCTAATATGTAGAGGGCCACCCAAATCCGTCAACTTTGAGCTCATATATCTCGGTTCTTGTAAAAGATATAATAAATTGGTCAACTGATAAAATGTTTATCATATTATCACAAATGTTTTGTCAGTTGATCACTTTTTGATATTTTTTACAGGAACCTCTAGATATATAAGCTCAAAGCTGAACGTTTGGGTGGCGCTCTATTTTGGTGGATACAGTAATACTCAAAACCGAAAAGGATTTTTTTGCAACATCTGCATACGAAAAGCTCTATTTAATTTGATAGAAAATGTTCACATTAGAAAAGAGAGAGAGGGAGAGAAAGAAAAGCTCTTCATAACATTAGATTTTGATACAAAATTTTAATAAATCAACTGGATTGATTGCTATTGATCTTCACTTTTCGTCATACATATATGGAAAGATGAAATTTCTCTGAAAAACAACGGATGAAAAAAAACCGAGAGCTTATTGTGAATGGTTTTTTGAGTGACTTTGTGCCACAAACACGAGTTGGGGTAAGAGATTGAGAGACGCAGGTACTGATCGGTTACTGTTTCTTCTGCGTTTCCACAAGTTGCACACTATTTCTCTCCTCGAAAAATCTGTATTTGAGTTGGAATAATAGACAGGGACAAATGCGAAAAAAAATTCGGGAGAAACCTCCTTTTACAAAAATGACGCCATCCAGTTTCTCTCTGGATTTTCGTAGTTTGTGACCTGGAATTTGATTATATAAATCTGAAAATTTTGCAATTAGTGACAGAAAAAGCTTATAATAAAAGTCAAAACATTTTTGAGGTCACAAGGGGTTTTGCCAAAAAGATAACAGATGAGTCATCAAAACGGTAGCCATCACCAAGTTAAAGTATTTTAAAATAGGTAAACTATGGAAAATACATTCCCAGACTGTAAAAGTTTGTTCATATGAACTACATGCATGGATGGACAACTATCGAAAATGCCGATGGTCTTTATAAAACACTGAAAAGTAAAAAAAAAGTACGGACACAATTGGATAGCAATTATAACCCTATTTTTGTTTGTTGTAGTTCAACCGTTTGATTCCGAACTGCGATGTACAGAATCTAATAGTCAGTATTTTGAGAATCATTTTGAGAACCAAGAAATTCAAAATTCAAAAACACGCAATTGCTTTCTTTCATGATAAATTGGTATCTCGGCTCTGAGAACAGCCATTTCGACACCGGAATAGTACAGGCAAATGATTAGAGTTTTCAAACATTATTATTCCTTGTTAACCTCATTCTGAAATTCAAAGAAAAAACATTAGAAAAGTCCAGTATCTCATAAACTCAAGGATTGAAAGAACTGGCGCATTCAATATTCCCAGGATTGAAAAACTTTGCATGCCATAAAAATTTCCATTCTGGATTTATAAAATGCTGAAATTTCGATTTTCTATATTCTGAATTTCTGAGATTCAAAAACTTAGCGCATCATTCTCTGTAGAAAAGCTCTGACGCATTTTCAAATTTTACGGTGAAACAGAAAACTATTCAATAACGACGAACTATACAGGATGCAGTTTTCAGGTCACAACTGTTCTATACATATGTGTTGCTTGAATTTTCTAGCGTACGGTGTAAAATGAATTTTTAGAAAGTTGCAAAACTTGCTTCAGAAAGTTAAACAAATTGCGGCAGGATGTCCGGAAAGTTGTAAAGGTGTCCAACTTTCTGAAGACGGTCAATTTTAGCCAAATAAGTTCAAACGAAACGTCGAGTATAACATGTCCAGTTTCAGTATTCTTCCTTCCAAAAATCGTGATCAATCGTTTAGAAGTAATGAACAAACAAACACAAAAAAACAAGCATCTCGGCTCATCGTTTTGTTCCAAAACACATTTTACTCACTCTTTTTTTTGTTTTTTTTAGAATGTTTTCTGTTTGCCTGGAACTAATTCAATTCACAAACGATGTTCCAGCGGCTTTTCTTTATTTTTTGGAAGTGGAACAATATTTTTTCTTTTTTGCAACAGATTTATGATAAGTCTTGAAACGCCTTTTAAATCTTTCTAATGTGATACCAACCAATGAACCTGATCTAAAAATTTGAAAAGTTAAAGGATTGTTCGTAGGGTCATGGGCACCCAAATCTTATTTTTGGCACTAACTTCAATATGACGTATCCACATTTTCAACCAAACAACAGTACTGGTCAAACTGTTGACCCCATTAAAACCAAAACCAAAAACCCATCTTTTCTGTAATTTCTCAAAAATGTTCCTGTTTTCTTTTCTTCCCGTTAGTCATTTTGAACCAGTCTATGATCCCTATATCAATGTTCTCTGTGTTTACATTTATCATCGATTTAATCCCTTTCCGATGAAACATTCGATTTATTTTGATTTATTTCAATTTCAATTATACACCTTCTCAATTTCTTTCCATCTTTTGTGTTCTCTTCTCCTGTTCTTCTTCTTCTTTTTTTTGTTTTTATCATTGATAATTTGATATGTTCTTTTTTTAAGGTGATGATGACGTCACTAGGAAAAGAATCAAATTCATGTCATAATATTTGAAACTTATAACGGCATAATCCATTCACTTTCCAACTTTCGCATCGAAATTTCCATACGGAAACCTCCTTTCTCTCTACCGTTTTCATAATTTTTTTATTTTCAGATTAACCTCTTGTTGGTCTTTTTGGTTTCAGTTTTCTCGATAAATTTTTGCATTTTTTGAAACTTTTTTCTAGACTCTCATTCCACTAGCTGAACTTTTTTGATTTTCAAAAAATGACGTTTTGTTTCAGACAAGAAGACGTGGGAACGAGTGATTGATGTATGAAATGATAAACGAGACGACGATGAAAACGAACGGAATCAATGGAGAAACAATTGGCGAAAACGACGGAGAAGAAGAGGAAGAAGAAGAAGGGAATGAAGATCGGTATAAAGAACAAAAGAATTTTCTGTTATAATGATTTTTTAGAAACCGTTCATCTTCGTTTCTTCGTCTTCTGAATGCTCCCAGAAATTCAGTGTGCAATGCGAATACGGTACACAGTATTTCATCTTTTAGGTGAGTTTTTTTTAAACTATCTTTTTAAATTATCATTTGTCAAGGTACTGTAAAGCCTGTATTAAAAGGGCCGAACAAATGTTTCATCGGGTTGGCCAGGAGGGCACATCTATTAGAGGGGTCCTTCAATTAGAGACTTCTATGTTTTGCCGGATCCCAAGGGGTCACTTCAATTTGAGGGGCCCTTCTAATACAGGTTTACGGTATCATAAAAATAAATATATTCAGATCCGATCACCTCTCCCGAAAATCGACACACAAACTTTTGGAAAATCCAAACCTCTTTGCAATTGAGTTAACTGAGAAACTATCTCCTCCGTGGATCGAAAACACATTCGAAAAAAGAGAATGTGTTCGTTTCACAGCACAATCAAAAGACGCCGAAAGATGTGGATGTGGAAGACCTCTGGCCGCCCATTCATCTGCTTCTAGACTCTTCTACACACTACCTTACCAAATCATAGACAAAGAACAAGAAGTTTGGACCATCGCTAACAACACTCAGACATCAACAACCGATGCTTTCGGAACTATTGTATTCCAAGGTGGAGCTCATGCTCACAAAGCTCAATATGTGAGATTATCTTATGATTCGGAACCATTGGATGTGATGTATTTAATGGAGAAAGTATGGGGACTTGAAGCACCAAGACTCGTTATCACTGTTCATGGAGGAATGAGTAATTTTGAGTGAGTTTATTTTGAAAACCAAAAACTGATTACTCATATCTTCAAGACTCCAAGAACGTCTCGGTCGTCTGTTCCGCAAGGGAATGCTTAAAGCAGCACAGACAACAGGTGCCTGGATTATCACTAGTGGTTTAGATAGTGGAGTTGTACGCCACGTGGCAAAAGCACTGGATGAAGCTGGAATTTCTGCAAGAATGAGATCCCAAATAGTAACAATTGGAATTGCGCCATGGGGTGTTATCAAAAGAAAGGAGCGTTTGATCCGAAAGAACGAGCATGTCTACTATGATGTTCATTCATTGTCCGTAAATGCAAATGTAGGTATTTTGAACGATCGACATTCTTATTTTTTGCTTGCTGACAATGGAACTGTTGGAAGGTACTCAAATAAAGATTGATCCGAAATTTCTGAGTCTCAACGTTTTAGGTTCGGAGCAGATCTTCATCTCAGGCAGAACCTAGAGAATCACATTGCAACTTATGGATGTAACGGAAGAAAAGTACCTGTAGTTTGTACTTTATTGGAGGGAGGTATCAGTTCGATCAATGCTATTCATGACTATGTAACAATGTAAGAAAACATACATTGAATGTTTCTATTCATGTTTTGTTTCTAGGAAGCCAGACATACCTGCAATCGTGTGCGATGGTAGTGGAAGAGCTGCAGACCTCATTTCCTTTGCCGCCAGATACATAAACACCGATGGGTAAATTTTAAGAATTGTTTTCGAATTATTAGGCAAAAACATTTCAGAACTTTTGCGGCGGAAGTTGGGGAAAAGCTGAAAAATCTGATAAAAATGGTGTTCCCAGAATCAGATCAAGAAGGAATGTTAAGCAAAATCACAGAATGCGTCATTCGAGACGATCTTCTGAGAATATTCAGATACGGTGAAGAAGAGGAAGAAGACGTCGATTTTGTGATTTTAAGCACCGTACTTCAAAAACAGAATCTACCCCCCGATGAACAGGTATATCCCAGAAATAATGAATTTTTAAAATGGTTCCTATTTTCATAGTTAGCATTGACATTATCATGGAATCGAGTCGATTTGGCAAAGAGTTGTCTATTCTCCAATGGTAGAAAATGGCCGAGTGATGTGCTTGAAAAAGCAATGAATGACGCATTGTATTGGGATCGAGTATGATTGTTTTGTTGAAAATCTGGGAGATTTTATTTTGAAGTTTTACAGGTTGATTTTGTAGAATGTCTACTAGAAAATGGAGTGTCCATGAAGAATTTCTTGACCATCAATCGTTTGGAGAATTTGTACAACATGGTGAGTTTTAAGAGTTTTTGCAGAATTCAGATTAATTATTTCAGGATGATGTAAACAGTGCCCACTCGGTTAGGAATTGGATGGAAAACTTTGATTCAATGGATCCACATACCTATTTGACAATTCCAATGATAGGACAAGTGGTTGAAAAACTGATGGGAAACGCATTCCAATTGTATTACACTTCGAGAAGTTTCAAAGGAAAATACGACAGATACAAAAGACTCAACCAGGTTTTCCCCTTTTTGGAATATCCATCAATCTTTGTTTTTACAGAGCAGTTATTTCTACCGAAAACGAAAGATCGTGCAAAAAGAATTGTTCAAAAAGAAATCGGATGATCAAATCGATGAGTCTTCGGAAGAAGATTTTAGTTTTTCATATCCATTTAATGATCTTCTGATTTGGGCGGTGCTTACAAGTAGACATGAAATGGCAAAATGTATGTGGATTCATGGAGAGGATGCAATGGCGAAGTGCTTAGTTGCTATCAGGTATCATTTTGAAGATTATTTTAGAATCCGAATTTCAATGAATTCAGATTATACAAAGCAACAGCGAAGATAGCAGAAGATGAATATTTAGATGTAGAAGAGGCCAAGAGACTATTTGATAATGCAGTGTGAGTTATGAGTTGAAAGTTATCATCTGGTCGTTTCAACTTTCAGAAAGTGTCGAGAAGATGCAATCGAATTAGTCGATCAGTGTTACCGAGCGGATCATGACAGAACATTGAGACTTCTTCGAATGGAACTTCCACATTGGGGAAATAATAATTGTCTTTCTCTTGCAGTCCTGGCGAATACGAAAACATTTTTGGCTCATCCTTGGTATGTGATTTTGAAGCCAAGGAAATGATTGTGAAACCTTCAGTTGTCAAATTCTTTTGGCTGAATTGTGGCATGGTTCTCTAAAAGTTCGATCTGGATCCAACGTGCGAGTGCTTACTGCTCTCATTTGTCCTCCAGCGATTCTATTCATGGCATACAAACCGAAACATGCGAAAACCGCCCGTCTCTTATCGGAAGAAACACAAGAAGATATACCATACCCACGAGAAAGTATCACAAGTACAACATCCAATCGATACAGATATCCAAAAGGTCCAGAAGAACAGAAAGAAACTCTGTTGGAAAAGGGAAACTATGCTAAGAAAGTTACTATCATCTCTTCGCGGAAGAATTCCGGAGTGGCAAGTGTCTATGGATCAGCTTCGTCAATGATGTTCAAACGAGATCCTCAATTGAGCAAGTTTGAAAAGTTTCGGGCGTTTTATTCAGCTCCAATCACTAAATTCTGGTCATGGTGCATAGCTTTTTTGATATTTCTAATAACTCAAACATGTATTCTTCTACTCGAAACTTCTTTAAAACCATCGAAATACGAATGGATTCTACTCGTTTACACTGTGACACTATCGGTAGAACATATGAGAAAGGTAAGGGCGTTTCGAAGTGAGCAACGAAAAAGTTCAATAGAATATATCCAGCTATTAACATCAGAAGGATCTCGGATAAATGAAAAGATTAAAGTATTCTATGCGAAATGGTACAATATTTGGACATCTGCTGCTCTTTTATTTTTCCTATTCGGATATGGATTCCGATTGGTTCCGATGTTTAGGCATTCGTGGGGAAGAGTTCTTCTCAGTATCAGTAACGTTCTTTTCTATATGAAGGTATGTGGAAATCTAAAATAAAAAATTGTACCTGTCCTAAATTATTACAGACTTTCGAGTACCTTTCCGTTCATCCTTTACTTGGTCCCTACATTCAAATGGCGGCAAAAATGGTGTGGTCGATGTGTTATATTGTTGTACTTCTTCTTGTTCCTCTAATGGCATTCGGAGTGAATCGACAAGCTCTCACAGAACCAAAAATCAAAGATTGGAATTGGTTGTTGGTCAGAAATATATTTTATAAACCATATTTCATGTTGTACGGAGAAGTTTATGCCGGAGAAATCGATACTTGTGGAGATGAAGGGACGCGTTGTTTCCCTGGATATTTTATTCCGCCTCTTCTGATGGTTGTGTTTCTTTTAGTTGCTAATATTCTCCTTCTCAATCTGCTCATTGCAATTTTTAAGTGAGTGAAATTAAAAAACTACTCTAATCTTATTTGATTTCAGCAATATTTACAACGATTCCATTGAAAAATCGAAAGAAATTTGGCTTTTTCAGAGATACCAGCAGCTTATGGAGTGAGTTTTTTAATACGAATTTCTCCATAGATTGGTATTTTTAAGATACCACGACAGTCCATTCTTGCCACCTCCATTTAGTATTTTCGCTCATGTTTATCATTTCATAGATTACATCTGGAATGTAAGTTAGCTCTAATTCTAGTTAATTGTCTTCAATTATTTGTTTTTCAGCTACGGAGCAAGCGTCCAGACACAAAACGTTTTCGATCCGAGCATTCTATAAGTAAGTCTTTTTTTTCGAAAATTTCCTTGGAAATTTCTATTTTTCTAAAGCTCGGAATTCTAAAATTCTGAAAAGTTCTAAAATTTTTAAATTTCAGAGTGGATTTTTCCTACCTTTGTTATTCGATTTTCAGAATTCCTATATTTCCAATTTTTTTAATTTTGAAATTCGGAAATTTTAAATTTTGCGAATCATAGAATTCCCAGTAATGTTCATTTTTCTGGACGTTTTTAATTTTTGAATATCCGAGTTTTCGTATTTCGGAAATTCGGTGTTTTATTGAAATTTCGATTCTATAAGCATCCTCGAAATTTTCCTGAAATTTTTTTTTTCAAAAAATCTTCCTTATTAATAAAACGTTAGGCGTCTGTCCGTCCTCGTGTCCGTCTGTGGACTTTTGAAAAAATTGAAAAATACATATATATTTACGTGACCCTTTTATTTAGAAAAAGTGAGAAACGAAGCGACGAACATTTGAAAAAAAATAGATTGCATCGCGCCGAAGGCGCACCCGCTTGCTGGTCGAGAATAAAAAAATTAAGAAACTCGATTTGTTTGAATATCAATATTTCAAAATTTCCGATTTTCCGGTTTTCGAAATCCTGGAAAAAAACTTCTTTTTTTCTCGGATTTCTAGGATTTATTTTTGAATTCGACCGTTATGACTATGTATACTGTATTGCTCTGCAAAAAAAACACATTTTGAAATTTTTCACCACCTTTGAATGAACTTTCAGAATGGAGTGTGACTGAAGATGAAATGAAACGAATGCAAGACTTTGAGGAGGATTGTATTGACACACTTACAAGGACTAGAAGACTGAAATTAGACACAAAGGAACCATTGAATATGACGGATTTGTGAGTTCTTTTCATAGAAGATATTTAATTTTTTGGGTTTTTCAGAACCGAATTAACATGCGAACGGGTGCACGATCTGATGCAGGAAAACTTCCTTTTGAAGGTAATGAATTCATTCATGAATCAATCCAAAATTTGAATTTCAGAGTCGTGTGTATGATATTGAAACTAAGATCGATCATATTGCGAATTCTAGCGATGAAGTTGTGCTGATTCTCAAGAATAAGGTGTAATTGAATTCCAGAAACTTGCTTATAGGTTTTTTTTTTCAGAAAATGTCGCAGAATTTCGCAGCGTCATGTTTATCACTGCCTGAAACTTCCATTGAAGTTCCAAAGCTGACGTAAGCTCTTTTCGAAAAGTTCGATTCAATAATCTGAAAATTCTTTAGAAAGCCTCTCATTGACTATCATTTGTCTCCTGTGGTTATCGAAGAACGTCTTGCAACTCGTTCACCTCTTCTAGCAAATCTTCATCGAGATCACACACTCCGGAAATACGATGACGTGGGTTTCAAACATTATATTTTGTCTGACAGTTCATTTTCAGGCAAACTTCCAAGCTGGTAATCTGCAACGTCGAACACGTCTTCATTCCAGTTCCTGCTCGATTTCACAGGATATGAAGGAAATGAGAACGTAAGAATTTGATTCTCACCAACATTCTAAAAATCAATTTGTTTCAGAAGCGCAAGTTCCAGAAACTTGAAACGACAAGATTCCGAGGAACTAACAGTTTCATCTCACGGTGGTTATGATTCAGATATTTCTGGTCCAGACTAACTGGTTTATCTTTTTGCTCATTTTGTACAAATCCCATTTCTTTTCTCAAATTTCCTATAGGTATTGCTTTTTTGGTAATAGTTTGGTTTGCAAAAACTATTGCTTGGAATAAAAAAGTAGAATTTTTGAACTATTCTGTTTCTTTCCCAATTATCCTCCTCGTTCAACTAGCAATCTGTATTCAAATGAGTGTCAAAACAAACAAGCCGTTCCGATTCTGATACCTTTTTGCGGATGGTTTTCTCTGCTGCACACACAAATACATACACAAGACACCACGTCCTTTATTCATGCAAATTCTATAGGCAAACAACAATTTTAGTATTGGGAAGAGGCAGGAAAAGGACACTCGGAGAGGTGTTAAGAAGGTGCTAAGCACAATGACAAGAAAAGAGAACGGAATAGAGAAAAAGGGAACGTTTGATAATGGCAGGCAATTGGTATCAGAGTTCAGATACAAATAATGACAAATTGAAGGTCTTCAAAATTAAAACATTGGGATGTGCAAAACCATATCATAATGATTATACTGGTACAAAAAATCAGATCTGTGGAAGAGAAACGCTGGTGGCCGTAGTCGAAGATCCCACAACAACAACTACAGTGACCTGCAATTATTTTCAATTTGCAGGATGTGTTATCTCGTTTTTCACTGATTTTTGTCGATTTCTCCTGTTATTTTTCCCGAAGTTTTTATAGTGGAATAAATTATTGGAAACGCACGAAAATCGAGATAATAAATCCTGAAAATTAAAATATTTTAAAGTTACGGTAGTTGTCGCTGTAGGACCTTTTTCCACGGCCAATGGCAATTCAGAACATCCTCTGAATTGCAAAATTCGAGATTTACTAGATCACTTAATTTCCTTATCTGCAGTAATCTTCCAATTTTTAGGAGCTACTGTACATGTTTTCGAAGAAGCTATATTTGTTCTAATGACACAATGTACCACTGGACCTTGACATTTCAACCGAAAACATTACCTGCTTTGATCTTTTCCACGTGTCAACTCAACCAGATCCCTATGATTTCTCTATCTCTACTTCTCCGACTTCTCCACACTATTCTTATAGTTCTATTTGCTTATTGATGATTGTTGCCAGCCGTCTCTTCCCCTCCAGGGCGGTGTGAAAGAAAGGAAAAGAGACAGTGTTTCGATCATGGAGGGATTGTCATAGAAACATACGAAAAACTGTATACAGGATGGATGGGTTATTTGCTCTCTATCTTTCTCCCTCTGTCCCTGCGAGGTGTGTACTGATAATGAAACAAGTGAGACATCGAGAGTCAAACGAGACACAGAAAATCACAGAGAGACAAAATAATTTTGTTATCAGAGACCATGAATGTGTCAGACCTCGTGTCCACCACCACTGAAAATCTCTTCTCTCTTTCCCTTTTTGAGTCATCCCTCTCTTTTGTATCGTTCGGTGTTCCATGTTTTTTTTTTATATTGAATACTAGGATGACAGGTGCCAGGCACCGAGACTGTACTCCTTTTTCTGTTGATTGTTTTGTGAATTGTTTTCTTTTTCGAACCGTTTAGACCACTTATCGTTTGATTATCAGCTTCAAATTAACTTCCTTGACTCTCTGTTTGGATCGGAACATCTACTGTCGAAAATACAATCCGTTCTAACCATACTTTCTCAAACTCATTCACATGGCCTTTTTTATTTTAATTCTCCGATTACGGCGACCTGTCTATTTTTAGGTTCTTCCAGACCGCCTGAAACATTGATTATTGATTGATAAACCTTTTTTCAAGCAGCACAGAGCAATTAAAAGAAACTACCGACACTATTTTTAGGTTCCTTATACAGTAGCGGTCATTTTTAGAATCCTGGGAAACATTTGTTGATTGATAAGGTTTATTGTGAAGTGACTCAGAAACCTATAGAATCTCTCTTGAGTATTTTACCTTTTTGAGTCACATTATAAACATTTTTCTGTGTTTTTCTCTCTCATTTCCATTCCGCATATCAGAAAATAGAATACAGTCCCTTTTCACACAATATTTCCATTTTCTCTCCCTCTCTTCTATCCATCCCATCTACCCGTACACAACCATCCATAAAAAGCTTCACCCATCTCTTTTTTTTCTTCTTCTCCGTTCCGATCATGACTCATCGTTTTTCGAATTTTCCGTCCGTTTTTTACATATTTTAGTACTGTTCCTACTTTCATCAAAAACATCTTAAGCTTTCTTTTGGTTGTTACTGTAAATTATGGAAAGATGCTAATTAATCAACTACAGGGTGGCGCCCAATTTCCCGGATTCATAAAAATGGTCATATCTTTAGACATAGGTATCTTGGAAGCACGAGAATTGGTAGAAACAAAGTTTTACATTTGATTCAAAGCTACTGAAATTTACAAAACAATTCCTCAAGTAGGTATTGTGATGATTGTCCAAAGATGATCGGCGTTTTTCATGATTTTCGAGTGTTGTAGCATTTTTGACAAGTGCTAACTCGGCTCAAAGTTGATCAAATAAGTTGAAACTTTTCCAGTTAACTAATGAATTGTTTGAAATTTTGTATTTCAAATTTGAGCGCAGTACAACGCATTACTAAATTTTATGCTAGTACAAACTTGAGTCCGGATAGTTGCTGTATTTCCTTTAATAGAAGCCGACCCAAACCGCCAACTTTGAGCCTATTCATTTCTTGTAAAAGATATAACAAAATAACTGAGCTGAAAGTTGACGGGTTGGATGGTTAGTAACAGACTGAAGGATCTGAAAGTGCTTCTTATTCCTTCAAAATTCTTATGAGAATAGTAATAAAATTGATTTTTTGATTCCTGTCAGTTTTTGGACACTCATAAGAGGATTACTGTATCTTTTAAAAATACGATTATGAAGAAGTAATACTCTTCTCCAGACCTCCAAAACGAACACTAATGTTGTTGCTCCGTAGGCGTCTTTTCCCTGTTGTGATGACTCATTTCCTGTGCTCCATGACTCAGTTTTTTTCATTCCTTGACTGTCGTTTTTCCCTTATTTCTTCATGTGTATACAAGCGAAAAGAGTGGAAGGAGGGTGGAGAAGGTTGTAGGTAAATATGCGTCCATGCATATTTCTTATCATATTTCTTCCCAAGTTTCTTCGTTTCTTACTGCCTTTCTTTAAATTTTTAAACGTTTTCCTTATTTTGGAGCTACTCACTCATTGAGTGGAAGTTCTAAGCTATCAGTTAAAACCCTTAGTTGTTCATTTAGAACATTAGATGTTTCCAAAGCTGCAATATTCTCTTATTAGCTAAAATTTAGATTTGTTAGAATCTGAAATTAAAGATCTGAATAATCAGATTTCCATTCCAATATATTTTAATAAAAATTAATCCAGCAGCTACTAGATCCATCGATTACTGTGAAAGGGGCTTAAAAATGTTTCATAATTTATCGCAAGCACTCGAATAGAGATTCCATCCTTACATTTGAGCCCATATATCTCGGTTCTTGTAAAAGATATCAAAAGGTGGCCATCTGACAAAATATTTCTGGTGTTTTAATAAAAATTTTGTCAGTTAACTAATTTTTCATATCTATTACAGGAACCGAGATATATGGGCTCAGAGTTGGCGGTTTGGCTAGCCGTCTACTTAAATGTTTACGGTATATCTCTCTCTCTCTCTCTCTCTCTCTCTCTCTCTCTCTCTCTCTCTCTCTCTCTCTCAAAAAATCCAAAACAGTAAGAGAAAGGTTCTAGGTATTTAAAACAAAACCAAAAAATAATCCCAAAAAAATCGATTTGGTTATGTATTTCCCAAGAAAAGGATTCAATTTCAACTATAGCAATATGTTCTATTCTCATCCTCTTTCTATTTTTTTCTCCTTCATTTTTCTCTTCCGCATCTTTCCCAATATTTACTCTTTTTGTGGAAGAGGTCACCTTGGCTCAAGGCAACACAAGGGATTCTCGGTGCCACAGGAGAACAAGACATCACGGTTTATTAGTTTGTCAACAAAACCCATTTCTATACAGGTTTTCATTTATTTTAATGCCTTTTTTGAATCCTACTTCTGATTATTCAGTGTGAAATGAATTAATTTACCTTTTTAAAGACAGTGTGATTTGTATTAACTCTTTAATTTTTTTCTACGAATGCTTCGAGTCTGACCAGATGTTTTTTTTTTCTGGGAAAGTATTAAAGAATTTTCCAGAACGTCTGCATTTTTTGAAGCGAAAACCCGTGTTGTGGTTTTTCCGAACTCCACGAACTTCATTGTTTCATTGAACATTTGTTTATTTTCTGCTCTTTTACCTCTGCCGTCAAAAAAAAATTTACCAATATTTACCTTTTTTTCTCTTTCCCTCGTTTTCCCCCATCGTTTTCTCCGTTTTTCTGTATCATCGTATTTTACGACATTCTTCATATTTCACTCATGACTTTTCTTTCTCTTTTCCTGATTTTATTTTTCCGGTGATCTATTTTGCAACTACTGAAAGTTTTTCACTTATCATTGAGTTACTTGTCGCTCTTCATTTATTTGAAAATCAAATTCAAATTCAAATTTCAGGTCCTTATGACCTCATCAGTTCGGCTCGCCTTTCTGGTGACGCTGTTGCTTCTGCTACCGTTGGAGGCTCAAATCCAACAGGCAAATTCTGCAAATATCAATCAAAATATTGGACAACAAGATGCTGGAACTCTTTTTACTGGAACTGGAACAAATCTTTACTATGGAGTAAATCTCGTTCCATTCGGACCAGACGCCGGAGATCAAGAAGTGAATCCTGGATTGCTGACAGCTGGACAGACAATTGACCTTCATATGTATTTCCCGTTCTATGGAGGATTGTACAATTATTCTACAGTAAGGATTTTTCTATCTTATTTTGAAATTTTAAAATGATTTTGTTTCAGCTCTCCGTGAATGGATACATTGGATTTGCTACAGTTCTTGATCAAGGGCCAACTCTCAATGTGGGTCCAGATATGACTGATTGGCCAAGACACGAAGACCCAGCTATGATTGCTCCGTATCTTTGCAAGCAACAGGTTCCTCAAAGTTTGAATCCAGGAATGCGCTCTGGAGTCTACTACCGTTTAGTTATGCGTCAATCCCTTTTCGGTCGTCAATCTGGAAGTAACATGAATATGGGTCAAGCCACGTATCAATCTTCATTCTTCGGACAATCTGCTTCGCAAGCTTGTCCAGGAACCCCTGATTCCTACGTCAGATGTGACACTCAAGCAGACTATTTCCTTGAAGATATGCAGCGATGGTTGATTGAAGGAGTTGCTGGAGCAGCTGCGTTCCGTGCTGATGCTGCTCTTGTTGTCACTTGGTACAATACCGCGTCAGCTATTTCCGGAAGATCTGATATCGATTCCGGACAATTGGCCACTTATCAAGCTATCTGGTTGACGGATAGAGTGAGTGTTTTGATTCCAAAGGTTTCGAATACCCCATTTTTTTCGAAACTTCACTTATTCTCTCTTCCCGTTTGTTGTTGACTGGTCTTCGTTATCGAGGAATTCCCTCCCTCCTTCTATTTCCCAACTTCTGCATTCAATATACTGCTCCTTTCTCTCCACTTTCTACCCCACCAAAATGTTATCAATTTTATCAGTTCCTCACATAAATACACACGTCTCATGACGCTTAACGGCCCTATTAACACACATTTGAAAGGGAGTAAAAAGGGGAAAAATAAAGAAAAAACAGGGGTTAAAATGTAGGTGGTAGAGGGGTGTACTTGATGAGTCTAAAAGTAAAAAAAACCATATTTTTTGGAATTTCCAGACCGCCCGTCTCTCCTACGTAATTCTAAATTACGATCGTCTTGGATTCGATGCCGCCGATTTCCGTCAGAACTCGCGTTCGGGAAGATGTCAGGTAAGCCATTCATACTCGTGTTTCCGATTGGCATTGTTTATTTTTCAATGACTCACTGAACAGCGCTATGCAAATATTGAGAAACTCTCTCATGTCTGGAAAGCTCAGCTTTTCATCTCGGGTGGTCTAGAGAAATACATATGATTTCAGGCTCTATTCAATGGTGGAAATCACACCGGACTTGTACCAGTTGATCCAACTCAGGATTTCAAAAATACTCCAAAAGTGCTCGCTCAAAGATCTGGAGTTCCTCAAATGGTTCGAGGAAGATACATGTTCAGAGTGGACGATGTTGTGAGACCAGCTGGATGCTCGAACAAAACTGGAGGAACTTGTTAGTTATTTTTCGTTGGAAAATTTCTTCAAAAAATATATTATTTCAGACCCAATGTTGATTTACCCAAACATCGTTAACATGCTCGGAGAAATGACTGTTGATGTGAACGCCATCTGTCTTGATAAGGCTCAAACCTATATTCTTATGATAGAACAACGACAAACTGCCACGTGTACTGTTCTGACATCAGCCATCGCTCGATGCAATCTACCAAAGATTTACGATTGGGGAACGAAAACTGTGTACTTCCAACCACAATCTGGAGGAGCCAATGATGAAAAAGCATTCGTTGGATATATTTATTTTGTGCCTCCGACACTGGATCCAATGAGATTAGATATTGGAAATGTTTATGATTGGTTTAAGAATCCACTTCCATATCAAACAATGCCTCTGGTTTGGTATCCGAGAAATTTCACGAATCCAGATGTGAGTCTCCATATGGATCAAGTCAGGATGAATGATGATTCATTGTACAGTGTGCAACTTGGGTTGTACGTGATTGCATACAGAGAGCACAAGGATGACACCGTAAGTTTAGGTTTTCAGAACTTCGAAAAAATAACGATTGTTTTCAGATCAAAAAATTCCGTCCCGAGCATCGTGTGATCTGTAGATTGGCCACATATTCCAACCGTAATACTTATGAATATCGCTGGAAACCACAGGAAGAAAGAATCAATTTGTTCCAAGTCGAACAATGGTACATGACTGATTGGGAACGACAAAATGAATTGTATCAGTACCGATTCGGATACTTGAAGTTAGCTCCATTGAAACCAAATCAAGAACAAAATCCTCAATTGCTACTTTCTGGGTTAGTTGCTTCAAAACACACTTCATCTCAATAAATCCTTTATTAACTTTCAGACTTGTCTCATCTCCGATTTCTCTTCATTTCCTCTGGACCTCCAACAACCCACAATTCTCCACCACAACGTATTCTGCAAACGACGAAGCTGCTCGTACTGAATATGTCAAGAAGAAGTCTTTGGAAATGTGCCACGATTGGTACGATGAGGATGGTGCTCAATGGAATTTCATCAGAGACATTGAAACCAATTCATCCTGTCCGTGTATTGAAAGACAAGCAATTGCTGATATTGGAAGATTCATGCCACATCCAAGATGTTCTCAGGCATTCCGTGATATCACTTGTACCACTTCTATCGGGTCCAGAAATTGTTATATGAGCTCTCAAAATGTCATGACCACTTTTGCCGGTGATGGAAGATCATATACTTCTGAAAACACTGCTCGTTTCCCAACTCATTATGGACAAGTGTGCTGTTATGATGATTCAGGACATTTGATGCAGACATCGTATCAACCTGTCATCAAAGTTACTCCAGACGTACCTTATAATCCTGGTTTCCCAATGAGAGCTTACGAATTTGGAACGGCGCCGTATATGGGTCAATATGAAGTTCCAGGGCTTTCAGCCTTCCACAATGACTACATGCCTTACTTCCTTTGTTGTAAATTTGCCGACTTCCGATGTCAAATGTTCTATTGGAGACGTCCGTCATCTGGATGTCAAGAGTATCAGCCACCTGCATGGGGAGAAGTTATGGGAGCTGGAACATTCAATACTATCGACAACGATAAATTCATTTTCAATGAACCAGGAGTTTACAACGGTATCTATATTCCCAAAACAGTTGCAACTCCAGAAGTGAAAATACAGATTCGAATGGAGAGATATCCAAACAGAAGAGTAGATTTCAGTAAGTGAATTAAGTCGAAGAAATGAAATTGAATCCAAATTTTCAGGTCTTCTCGGTCGATACATGGCTCAACAAGATCTAGTTCAACCTACAAATGCAACAGTTGTGACTGGTGTTGTTTTGGAAGCAACTGGAACTGATCGTGTTCATGTTCTTGCTAGAAAAGATACGAGGCGATTCAGATACAGAACATCTATCATTGTTGGAAACATTCTCAGATATTTCGACACTATGAGAATCCAGAGGTTCAAAGGTAAGCATCTCGACGTATTCTGAAGACGTTCTAAATATTATGAATTCCAGGAGTCATGGTCTATGTGAACAATGTTGAACGTGGTCAGCCAGAAATCTATGTGGTTCTTGAAGAAGCACAAATTGGAATCCGTGTCCGTGAATCCTATGCCATCGATATTGATCGTTTGTCTGAATACCAAGAGTCTATGGGAATGCTGAATGTTGCTGTTTCTGTGGCTCCTCAATATGGCGTCCGTCCAGATGGAGACAAAACGAGAGAACAAGAATTGAGACAACGATACAATCTTCCACGTGTCAGTGGAGTCTTCCGTCCATTCCCTGATCAAGCATCTAACAGTTACATGAATACGTTGACTTTGCAAGATGTCAACTCGGAACAATACAGACAACAAATTATCCAAATGTGTACGTCATGTATAAATTTTCCTTCTGCAAATAATGTTTTCTTTTAGACCGAGTTCAAGGATCAGGAGAGCAAGGATCCGATCAGAATATCAATAATCAAGGAAACAACTACGGAATGCCAACTGAGAACATGTTCACAACTTCCAGAGATGAGGATAAAAAGTTCGAAGTGTTCCCTGAAGCTCAAATGAAGAGCGGACCAATTTACAAAACATCACCGAAATATGAAACGTAAGGACTCCTTCCTAACATATTACCTGACCTATATTGTTGTTTTCAGGGGGGCCTATCGTTTCTATCCGGTCACTGGACAAGTTATGAATCAAAGACTTCAGACATGCAGAGATATGCAACAATCCAATACAAGTAATTATTAATTTTATTTTTCGGAATTCATTTTTTAAATTTTCAGTCAACCTTCAACCTCTGCAGTCACAATTGACAGCGGACTATGGTCACACTCAATGTCCTGATAATCCAGCAGCCGTCATCCAAGATTGTGGTGACTCTGTTCCATGTCTCTACGATTATTCCATGTTCAACGCCAAGATTCTTGGACTTAATGTCAAAAATGAATGGAACACTTTCACTTCTGATCGATTCGATGCCTCTAGACAATGTAAAAATATATTTAGAAAACATAAAATGTTCTGAATCCTATATAATTTCAGATAACAGCTGTGGAGTGATCAACATTGAATATCCAGAATATCTCATGAAGACGTCGTCACTTTCCTCCGCTTACATGCAAGGAGATGTTGCTCGTTTCGAGTGCTTCCAATCGCATTGGATTAAGGGAGTTCATGAGTACAAATGTGGAATTGTAGTGGACAGAAATCGTCCGAACCTGAACGAGTACAGATTCGAGTGGAACAAGGGAGAACAACCGTGGTGCAGACCCAGAGAAATGGAGAATTTCTTGATCTGGCTTTCGATTATTGCCGGAATTCTCGGAGTCATCGTCTTTGTTATCCTGATCTTCTTGTGCTGCTGGATTGTAAAACAAAAGAAGTTGAATGAAGCGAATGAGAATAGGAGACAGAATGGAATGGATATGGCAAGCAGAAGTTCAATGACAGGAAGTCGAGGAGGCAAGAAGTATCCGATTAACGAATCAGAACCATTGAATGAGAAACGATTCGATGCGGATACATATAGAGATGATGACTTCTATCCACCAGCGAGGTTGGTTTAATTTTCTGAATACCGTAAACACTCTGATAGAAGGCCACACGAACCGCCAACTTTAAGCCCATGGATCTCATTTCTTGTAAAAGATTTCAAACAGTAGTTAACTGACAAAATTTTAATCAGAAGATCAAAAATATTTTGTTGGCCACTTTTTGATATATTTCCCAGGAAATATATACATGAGCTCAAAGTTGGGGGGCCTTATTAGAGTGACTGTGGAAGCTTAAGGATTTTTGAGTAAGTTTTACAGATTAGAACCTACGAAAATTGATTAATGTAAGTTTGAATGTTGTAATTGTACATGTATTCAGTACTTACCATTCATGAGTTTCAACCAATTAACCCCTAAACTAAATGGAATGAAACCTTTAGTTCAAGTAGCTTGTGACTTGTGAAAAACCTCAAGCATTCATAATTTTGTATCCGGAATGATCTAGAATAGTATATATTCAAAAGATCCTTCCTAAACCTGCATATACTTTCAGAGAAGGACAATACGCCCGTGCGGAGGATCTACATGGGTTGAAGACTTCTGTATAATCAAATTGCTCGAATTTATCTTCTTCTTTCAATTCCCCTCACTCAAAATATTCCTAACAATGGTCTCATGCTCATTCTTTTCAAACTGCAATTTTCGAATCGAAAACTCTGCAATTCTGTGATAAGTGCCTGATTTTGTGTTTCGTTTCAATATTTATTATTTCCATCTGTGAATATAAAATATCCCATGACTGATGATTGACTTTTCCTGGTTTTTCTGTTATAGGTTTAAAAGTTGAAAGTTTCTGGAAAGTTCTAATAAAATTTTTATTGATAGTTCAACATTACAACCACAAAAATATAACAAAACATAACTTTTCTTCCAGAGTCGTTTCATCTGAAAACCCTAAAATATTGTTTTCCGAAGACTTCAGGTTACGGTAGTTTAAAGGAACATATCAAAATACGTTTTCGGTCGTTTTCTACCTAGATGAACAACCGCTTAATATTGTGCTTGTCTGAGAAAAAAAAGGTTGAGACGCAGAGAAAATGTGTCTGCTTCTCCACCGTTTGTTTGCTATTTAGGCTCTCCGCTTCGATATCGCTACCGTATTCAGACTGCAAAAAATACTCTTTAACCTTTTTTTTCTCAGACAAGCATAATATGGAGCCCGAGATGGTTGCAGATTTCGTGCATCATGAAATAATGGACTAAACTTATGTTCTTGGTCGAAGTTATACCGGATTTTTCAAACGACATCATTTTGAGAAGTGGATTTTCATGCTAAATTTTTTATAAGAAACAACAAAAATTAATTTATTTAACGAAATCAATTTGGATTCATGTGATTCGTGGCCCTAAAGAGGGCCGTTGGGTTCGGTGAAGGTTTGAGATCAAGCTTGCTCAGTTACCAAAACGGTACTTAAGCGCGCTCTCCTCGGATACGTCTGGCCAGTTGGATATCCTTTGGCATGATGGTAACTCGCTTAGCGTGGATGGCGCACAAGTTGGTGTCCTCGAAGAGTCCGACAAGGTAAGCCTCGGCAGATTCTTGAAGAGCCATGACGGCGGAGGATTGGAAGCGGAGATCAGTCTTGAAGTCCTGGGCGATTTCACGGACAAGTCGCTGGAATGGCAACTTGCGGATGAGGAGCTCAGTTGACTTTTGGTAACGTCTGATCTCACGGAGGGCAACGGTTCCTGGACGGTAACGATGTGGCTTCTTGACTCCTCCGGCAGCCGGGGCCGACTTGCGGGCAGCTTTGGTGGCCAATTGCTTTCTTGGGGCCTTTCCTCCGGTAGATTTGCGGGCGGTTTGCTTGGTACGAGCCATTGCGATAGGTTGATAATCCGATTGGGACTGTAGAGAATTGAGACAAACGAAACCTTTTGTATCACACTGCGGTGGGTGGGTGGAGTCAATACATTCGGCTAGCGAGAGCGCGAGGTGAA